AAAATTTTTTTTAAATATCATTTTTTAGATAACGATTAGTGAAATTGTTCGACGACGAAATAATACATTTACTAAAGTTAAAAGTATTGTTTCAACAGCTAAACCATTTGAAGAAGAACAAGCAAACGGTTATTGAAAAAATAAAAATAAGGAAATTTTTTAATATTTATTATTTATTTAAAAAAATCTAGGCGAAGAAACAAAACTTGTTTGTTGGGATCTTGATCAACGTGGTGGTGTTGGTGAACAAATACTTCATCTATGTTTTCTATCATCAAGTCCTGTTCATACAGCTTTAGCTAAAAGACTCTTAAGACATTATCCGAAAATGATTGATGATTTATATATGGGTGATGAATATTATGGTTTATTAAATAGAATAGAATTTTTCTTTAGTCTATTTAATTATTTCTTTTTTTTTATTAAAGGTGAAAATGTTCTTCATATTGCTATTGTCAATGAAGAACCAGCAACAGTTAAATTTTTACTGGACGCTGGTGTTGATTTTACACAACGTTGTTGTGGAAAATTTTTTTCACCAGAAGATCAAAAATCGAGTCGGTACGATAAGAGATAATAATAATCAGTTTGTTTAATATCTTTTTAGAGTGGATAATGTAACAAAAGAATGTCCAGATGTAAGTGTAGCAACAGATTATGAAGGTTATTGTTATTTTGGTGAATATCCACTATCATTTGCGGCTGTTCTACAACAAGAAGAATCTGTTAGATTATTAATTGCTAAAGGAGCAGATACAAATTGTCAAGATTCAAATGGAAATACTGCTTTACATATGTGTGTTATCTATAATCGAATTGTTAGTGTTTACTTGTTTGAGTATTTCATTTTATGAATTATTTTTATTTTGAATAGCCGATGGTTGATTTACTTTGTGAATTAGGTGCATCATTAGATATTAAAAATCGTCAAGGTTTAACGCCATTAACACTTGCTGCTGTTAAAGCTCATAAAGATGTAAGATTTTTTTTTTGGTTTTTTATTATGAAAATAAAGCTTGGAATTTGATTCAGATGTTTGATCATATTCTACAGAAAACTCGTATTATCTATTGGCAATATGGAAATGTAACATGTGCTGGTTATCCATTAGATGACATTGATACGATTGGAAAAGATGGATCATTGAATGATACCAGTGCGCTTAATATTATTGTACGAGGAGTAAGTAGAAATTGAGCAACTGGTCATATGAATATATTCATAATTCAGGCAAAATTGGAAATCTTCCTAGCAATTTGAATTATGTTCTCTCGTATATAATAGATAATCGTAGGAATTAATTTCTATGGTTCGTACTGTTTAAAGAATTGAGTATTTTTATATTCACCATATCGAATTGCTAGAGTGAGCACTAAAGAATATGTAACTGACTTTGAAAATGCAAGTTCATGAACTTTGTCAAACACTCTTTGATCATAAATATTAAGATAGAAAATTCTGAAACAAAACCAGCATATATGAATATTGTTACATGTGAAGATTTAATCAGTAGATACAATGCTTTTATTAATTAAACGTATAGATTATTAAAAACCAAGATATTGTTTGCTTTATAGGAATCAGCTGGTCATCTAGATATGATGGATGGTTTGATTGTTCAGTTGTTAAATGAAAAATGGCGTACATTTATAAAATTCAAGTAAATTTATCTTTCATTGAAAATAAGATCTGTTGATTTTTCTTTTCGAAAGATTTTTTCAACGTATGGGTATATTTGCATTTTATTTTACTATCTGTTTACTTGCATTAATTGTTCGTGGTTATTATCGTGTTCCGCCATCATGCATTGTTCATGAAATAATTGATAAAGAAGAAAATAAAGTGAAATCCATAATAGCTGATCGTCCTGAATGTAAATGTCATTATACAAAATTTTTATGGCAAACAAAATTATTTGATAATACTAATCATACAATCATAAACATGAGTATGAAAAGTATTCCTAGAAAACGTCAATTCGAACCAACAGCATTAGTAAGAAATCAAAAAAAAAGAGAATCTATAGTTCTGTTCGTTATTTTTTCTTCTTATTAGGCTCTCAATGTTCTAGATGGATTAAGTGTTCTGGGTTCATTGATGTATCTCATAATAACCATACGTGAATTTTCTTATCAACATTTTAAATTAGATTATTTTATTTATGTTAATGATCCAACAAGAGTTTTATTTCTTTTTTCTTGTTTATTAACAGTAGCAATGGTACCAGCTAGATTTACATGTTCTATTGCTCTTGATGATATACTTTGTACTTATTCTATTCTTGCTCGAGCACCATATTTTTTCTTTTTTTGCCGGTAAATATAAATATTTATTTGAATAATCAAATAACTAGAATTTCTTTTTTGTTTTGGTTAGGGGTTTTCGTTCGACTGGTCCATTTGTTGTTATGATATATACAATGATCCGGGGTGATTTATTACGTTTTTGTTTAATATTTTTTGTATTTATGGTTGGATTTTCTCAAGCATTACATGTTCTTTTTGTACGAATTGAATGTGAAAATGATTTTGCAACAGTTATAAAAACATTTTTTCGAATGTTTTGTGTTACACTTCAACAAATTGCTGATGCATATAAAAATTTTTATTTACACCCTAATACTGGTATTCAAGTTATTGGAAAAGTAAACAATCGAAAAAGAAAGAAATCTTTTTTGTTTAATTAGTAAAAATAATATTTTAGATTTGTTTTGTAACTTATCTTGTTACAGCAGCTGTACTTCTTGTTAATATGCTTATCGCTAGTATGTTTTTGTAATTTTTTATATTTATTTTGATTTAAAAGAATGCATTTAGTGATGGGTAATACATATGCAATGGTAAACGAACGAAAAAAAGAATGGCTTCGACAATGGGCAAAAATTATGTTAATTGTTGAACAATCTGTTTCACGAAAAGAACGTTTAGCTCAACAATCAAATTATTCCAAAAAAATGCCGGATGGTTCAAGAATTTTAGTAACAAGATTAATTCAAACTGTATGTATTTTCTATTATAAAAAACAAAAATATTTTATGAATTTTGTTTTATTAAAGCCTGATGAACGACTTACGATTGAAAATATGCGTGTAGATTATTATCATCAACTTCAAAAACATTTAGAACCAGAAAATTTATCAACACAATCAAAAACAAAATCCAATGCAGCTAGTTCACAACAGAATTCATCTGTACGAGGAAATGATGTAGCAAAAACAAAACAAGATTTGCTTCGTAATCAACATGTACAAGATAGTTTTAATTCATTTGATACTACTACACATAACTAAAATGAAAAATTTATTTGTTTTTGGTTCGATATGAGTTTCGGAACATAAATTTGATACTTGCACAAATCCTTCTCTCTTCCCCTTTTTTACCTCTATGGAAAAAATGATTTGTAACTTTTTCCTATTTTTAATAATACAATAAAACCATACAAATTAATTTTTTGATAGAAAAAAAAGAGAATCTTAGAAAAATAAAAGCTTTGGAATGATTACATATTTTGAGATAAATTTTGAACTTATTCTTCAAGTATTAAAGACTTTGGAAAAATACATTGAAAAATTCTGCCGATGTTTCATGTGACGCCGTTAAGAAACTATGAAATGCAAAGACGATTATAATCCATTCTGGAGTCAAAAAATTACTACGAAAGGTATATTGACCGTCAAAATATGAACACTTCCGTCAATCGTCTAGCTGTGACGGACAAAAAAAAAGAAAAAATGATACAATTTTTTTTAACAACAGTATTCTGAAATGTCAAGCATGCCACAAGTTTCTGCATATGTTTTATACATGTTTGAGAATTTAACAAGAAATATTTTTGCAAGAATAATCATGAAATAAAAAAGAGAAAAACGCTTTGTCTGATAGGATTACGTGGTTGTAATTGTTTTATTTTAGTACAATCTAATCGTTTGTACTCTTCAACTTAGCAGTCACAACATTTTGTTCAAAATTAAATTCTGCATTCGACAGCACGAGAACTTTCGCTTAGAAAAACGTGGGTTTCCGACTTCCATAGAAAAATATCAGTTAATTTTTCTATTCATTGATATTAATTATGCTACTGTCTAGATTGGTCTTCATGAGCAAACGTTTACTACAGAATTTTGTAGAGCCGAAAAGTTCTCTATTGAATGGCTTTCTGAAAATGTGTTGGAATGGCCGAAAAAAGATATTGTTGGCTTGAATCAGAAACAAAGTATAGTGTACAAAGCAAACAATATCGATATATTACAATATTAAACTAAGAAACAATATTTTTAAATGGATATGTAGTTTTTCTACAGATACATGCACTCTAATCACTATAGTGATGGAACCAGAAAAAACTTGTAGGGTGGCTCAGTTGAACACTCTTCAGTCACTTCTTGGTTTCCACTAATATGTTAATCGCTTGGATCATACATTACTCTATTTGATCTCTGAAAATAGAGTACTGAATGTGGATGAGGAGTTCTGTATATCAGGTACAAACACCGAAGACGACATGATGAAAAAATATCATACCGAAAACATTAGTGATCAAAAGTACTTTTTCTCCATTTAATACGAATCTCTTAGATCTTTTGTTGTTTAATTATGTTGAAGGTCGATTCGATTAGAATAATAATCAGAACGCAATTCACAAACTGTCATCGAATAGAATATATAAGTGAATAAATATTCATTTTGAACCAAGAACTGGCGACATCTTATTAATTATCTAAAAGGATAAAGTTCTTGGTCGTCATGATCTTTGAACAGTTTTATGGATGTTGTTCCATGTTTTTTTTTGTTTGTCAATTCATCTTAATTAAATATAATCAATCATGAATTTTGGACATTTGTTTGGAAAAAAAAGCAAATCAAAATCATCAAAAAATTCTAATGATAAGGAAAAGTGAGAATCAAAGTCATCTAATAAATACAATGTTTTTGGTGTTTTTTTGTTGTTGAATATATAGATTCGAAACAAATGTTAAAAATTCAACACAAATACAAGAAAAAATGCCCGTTCGAGAAGCGATTCATTCAGATGGAGTTTTAAATGTTTATTCTGTTGATACATCAACTATTTTATCTGGTGGTCAAGATCGAGTATAATAATAAATATTTATTTTAAAAATTTAAAATCATCATTATTTATTCTAGACATTAGTTTTATATGATTTTATTAATCATCGTATTCGTCGTCGATGGGCTGGTCATGAACATGATGTTGTGAAAGTTTTATATGGACATATAGTAAATTTATTTGTAAGTGCATCACGTGATCGAACTATACAATTTTGGAATATAAATTCTGATTTACCTGTGCAAAAATTACTTGGTCATGAACTTGTTGTAACAGCTATTGATTTTAATCCAGGTTCATCATTATATTATAGACGATTATTAATATTTAAATTTTTTTTTCTTATAGAAAATTCAGTTTTGGTTAGTGGAAGTCGTGATAATAAAATTATTTTTTGGGATACAAAAACTGGTCAAATATTAAAAAAAATTATGATTGGACGAAATTTGGTTTGTTTAGTTTCTTTTTGATTTTCTATAAAAATAAAAGTTTATTTTTTTATTTTAGATTACAGATGCTAAATGGTCTCATGATGGAACATTTATAGCACAAACAGGAGAAGATAAAGAAACTAAGTAGGAATTAAATGTTCTTTTCATTTTATTCATATCTATGCTAAAATGTTTCATTATTTATCAAAAATTACTCAAAATAGAAGTGAAAGTTATTTTAAATGCAGCGAACAAGACAAGAAACATGCAGTCGTCAATTTTCTCGATTTCTATGAAAAATAGACTTGCTAAGTGATTTTGACCATGTCTGAACGATTACGCGTCTAATAGATCGACTCAGAGATGCTAAAGAAATGTTGAACCTATACATTCGGAAACAATAGAAAGCTTTGATTTACACTCAATGTTTTCAAGTTTCTACGGACTCCTTTTAAAAATGAACGAAAATTTTGTCAAATTATTTTTTTGCATAGCTGCGTTTAGAATGAATTTTGTTATATTTTTAGAATGTATGATTCTCGAAATATGACTCAAGTTGTTTCATTTCCGAAAAAGCAATATATTCAAACATCATGTGACATATCAAATGATGATCGTTATTTAGTGAGTGTTGCGAATGAACCTTCTTCTTCTATTTATTTTCAAATTCTTTTTCTTTTTGTCATTTTATTGATGTCAACAAGTAATGGTTTCAATGGTAGTGGAGCGGAAATTTCTGTAAGTTTGTTTAAAATATTTTTTTCATATGAACTAAATTTTATATAGTTATGGGATATTAGACAAAGAAAATTAATTTCCGAATTTTATGGTCATAGAGCTACAGTTAATAGTGGACAGTTTGTTGATCAAGCAGCATCAATGATGATTTCTTGTAGTAATGATGGTCGAGCAATTCTTTGGAATGTTCAACAAAATTGTAAGAAAAATAGAATTGAACTGAAATATGTTTTAATTCGGAGAACATTTGTTTTTTTTTTCTAGCAATTTTTGCTGAACTTGATGTTGATAGTGCAACACCACTTACATCAATAATTGCGATGAATACACAAAAGTAAGAAAAACAAAAAGATTTTTTAGTGACATGAAAAGTATATATATTTTCTCTCTTTAGTTTTGCAACTGGTGGACTTAATGGTAAAGTCAGTTTTATTCAACGACTCAATCGTCAGTTACAATTGACTGATCAAATATGATTTTTGACATTTTCTAGTCTTTTTAAATATAGCCTTGGTACTTTTTATCTTAAAGCAAAAAAATAAATTATTTTTCTGTATTATTTTCAGTGTACCTTAATAAATATTTCTATAAACTCAGCAAGAAGGTGTTGTTTTTTTAAAAAAGCCAATCGCGAATTTGAGTAGTAAATTGATCTAACTACAGCATATGTCAAGAAATGGATATGTTGATTGACAGATGAAGTTTTAATCGATGAAGAAAATGAAGAAATAAAAGAAAAGCGAAATTGAATGATGCTGTTAAGTAGAAGTAGGTGGACACCCGAGTTGACAGAAAAAAACGAAAGTGGCATTCAAGTGTCAACCGACAATTATTCAACAAGTTCCCGTTTTGAACAAACAGACGATAGCAGTAGTACAATGAGTGAAATTGATGGAAGACGTATTTATTGTTCTGGTCGTGATCTTCATACGATTAGTTCAGTTAGTAATGCTTTATTTAATTGAATCCGAATAAATTAAATTTTTTTTAATTGTTAGGATGTTTTTTCATATCCTGATATATCATATTTAGAATTAAGTCCAACACGTGAAGCTTGTCTTGATTTTAAATTAAACGAATTACCACGAGCTATTAGTCGTTTAACTGAATTACGTTTTCTTATTTTGGATACAAATAATCTTCGTACATTACCCAATGAATTATGTCAATTACGTGAATTACTTGTACTTATTGTTTCAAATAATTCATTAATTGCTCTACCTGATGCTATTGGTTATGTGGAACAACTTGAAAGTATTCATTTGGCTAATAATCATATACGTGATTTACCAGCATCATTTTTTTATTTAAGAAATTTAACATTTCTTGATTTATCAAGTAATAAATTACGTCAATTATCAGATGGTATTGGACAACTTACTGAATTACGTTCACTTTTGCTCTATGATAATCGTCTTCGTCTTTTACCAGATACAATTGGTATGTTGAAATGTTTAACAACACTCTGGCTTGGTCGAAATCGATTACGTACATTACCACGCACATTAACTCAATTAAAACAACTCGATTGGGAACATAATTATTTATCAACAATTTTAGATGATAATCCATTATTAAATCCACCACTTTCAGTTTGTCGATTAGGTTTTGCTGCTATTGATAGATGGCATCAACAGAATTCATCTGTAGGATTTCTTGCTCTTGATGGTGTACAACAAAATTATGATGGACAAAACTCAATGAGTAATGAAACAACAAGCAGATTTCATTAATGAAAATCATCACGGTTTTTTTATGATCGATCGTACGATGAACACATGTTTTATTGAAAGACGTTCTTTTTTTTCTTCATTGCTTTATTTCAATCATCATATATATATATAAACAGAAAGCAAACCAGTGGTATATTCAGCCATTGGGAAGTTTCCCACAAATAAAAAATTCATAACTACGCCACCGACGTAACGCAATCATTCTTATTCTGCTTGAATAATTAAAATTTACATGTGATCTTGAACTTGATCTGTTATATAAATAATTAAGTTTTGTAACATGAAAATATTTTTATTTATCTAAAGCTATTAATTCAGCCTTCTAGGTTTATCATAATGTACAAAAAATTATTCAACCATTGAGAATTCCTGACGCTATATACACAATAAAACTGTCATGAATAGCAAGCATTTTATTTCAAACTTGCTTCATGAACAAACATGTAACATACTGAACTGTATGAGGAAGAGGAAAAAAAATTGATTATTACTATTGAACCATTACTATCTATGTTATACATTTATTGGGAATCAATAAATTAAAAAACAATCACACTATTTCTGAGTTAATTTCTCATTCGATCATTCTGGACAATCGATATATCAGAAACTTCGTTGGCTATTTTGACCATGAAAATGTATTTAATGATTGTCACGACATGAAGTATGATAACGATATTTTTACTGCATAGGAGTCTGAGATAATTTTACTTAAATGTTACTTCTGAAGCAAAGAAGTCTATTTTTTTTAAAGGAATATAGTCTTACTTGTTTTAAATAATTGTATTTAATAAAACATGTGAGTACTTTGACAGTAATGATGATAGTAAAGCACACATTCATTAATTCCTATATGTATCTTTGAAATAACATGATTCTTTAGGATAGTTTGTAGTATCTCTTAAATGTGTTGTCTGTGATTTCATATTTCGGCATTTATCAGTACAATAGAACTTGATCGTTTTATATATATATTATCTTTTTTCAGGGTGTAATAAATAAATTTCCGAGCATCAGGATATAGTGTAAACTTATTTTGATATTATGTAAGTAATTTCGAATATTTTCTTGATTAAATTTCAATTTTAAACAAAAATTTTGTTTATCATTATATTATGACTCTTTTACTCAAAAAATAATTGCTTATATTGATTTCAAATAATTTTCTTTCATAATATATTTACTTTCAGAAAAAACACATGTAATGAAGATATTAAGAGAGTCCTCCCGAGGACCATCCTACATCGCTGGCGAGAAATTTTTTTTTCGATTCTGTTTCTTCAAATGAGAGGTCCAGTCAAACCATAGACAAATCCAAAATATAAGGTCATTTGGTTTTGTCTGTGAAAAAAGCGAGCTAAAACAAGTTTGAGAGATCTATTTTGATCCTAAAAATGGCTATTTTGAGAGTGTGCTCAGTATCTTGACATTATCTCATGAACGACTTGATAGCTTTGATTGACAAACGTCTCATTTGATAGAGAAGTATATAAGCTGCAAATTCATTCAATTCAAGTGAATGACATGTAGGGTAAAGAAAATGCCACAGGTCAAAAACCGTCCAAATCTCGAAAGGTGTGTTCTTCTAACGGAGCGGTATTTTGGCTTTTCTTGAGTGCTGCAAGAGATACTAAAGTTATTTTTTTACCAGATATAGATCTCGTCAAGACACATCTTTTAATATTAAATTGTTAAGACGAAAAAACTCGGGAGTCAAGTTAGCACGGACCACACTGCGGGTTACACTCCCTAATGACCATTCATTCTGTGTCTGGAAGCTATAGAGTTTCTTTCGAAATCAGGAAAACTGACTTGAAATTCGTGTTCAGCACGCAAAACTAGATACGATAAGTTTTTTTAGAATGATTTTTGACTTGCATCTAGCAGAATCATGATCATAGGTGCACTCCTTAGATATATGATGGGTATATGATAGATAGAGGCATCTGTGTGTCAACTGTAATTCATTAATGATAGTAGCTATCGAGTGTTAGTTTTCACCATTCGATAGTACTTTTCAGTGAGTACAAAGTTGTCTACTTTTTAAACTTAAAAACTCCTGATCACTCGACATATGCCAAACACATTGGTCTTATGGCACATTTTTGGCCCCAATTTAGCTGATTTTTGGTTGCAAAACCACAATTTCAATCAAAGCCAATATCAAGTTCGAAATAAACGTTAAACACTGAGTCAATCCATATATATTTTGAATATTTCTGAGAAAATTGTTTTTTCTTTGAAAAATGACTCCTGAAAAAGACCACAGGGATCACCAAAAAATGATTTATCTGAAAAACGCTATTTATCCTATGGAATAAAGTAACTGAGCTTCTCTCATACCAATAAACGCAAGAAGACAAATGTCTAAACGACAAAAACGTCGTTTCTTGAGAAATCATTTTTTGGTGATCCCTGAGGTTCTCTCCTCAGGCGTCATTTTTTATAGAAAAAAAACATTTTTCAAAAACATTTGAAATATATACGGATCGACTCAGTTTTTAACACTGATTTCGAATTTGATATTGGCTTTGATTGAAATTGTGGTTTTGCAACCAAAAATCAGCTACGTAGGGGTCAAAAATGTGCCATAAGACCAATGCGTTTGGCATGTGTCGAGTGATCAGGAGTTTTTAAGTTTAAAAAGTAGACAACTTTGTACTCACTGAAAAGTGCTATCGAACGATGAAAACTAAAACCCGATAGCTACTAGCATTAGTGAATTACAGTTGACACACAGATGCCTCTATCTATCATATACCCATCATATATCTCAGGAGTGCACCTATGATCATGATTCTGCTAGATGCAAGTCAAAGATCATTCTAAAATAACTTATCGTACCTAGTTTTGCATGCTGAACACGAATTTCAAGTCAGTTTTCCTGATTTCGAAAGAAATTTATAGCTTCCAGACAAAGAATGAATGGTCACTAGGGAGTGTGACCCACAGTGTGGTCTGTGCTAACTTGACTCCCGAGTTTTTTCGTCTTAACAATTTAATATTAAAAGATGTGTCTTGACGAGATCTATATCTGGTAAAAAAATAACTTTAGTATCTCTTGCAGCACTCAAGAAAAGCCAAAAATACCGCTTCGTTAGAAGAACATACCTCTCAAGATTTGGACGGTTTTTGACCTGTAGCATTTTCTTTACCCTACATGTCATTCGCTTGAACTGAATGAATTTTTAACTTATACACTTCTCTATCAAATGAGACGTTCATCAATCAACACTATCAAGTCGTTCATGAGATAATGTCAAGATACTGAGTACACCCTCACAGTAGATCTCTCACACTTGTTTTAGTTCGCATTTTTCACAGACAAAACCAAATGACCTTATATTTTGGATTTGTCTATGGTTTGACTGGACTTTTCATTTGAAGAAACAAAATTGAAAAACAAATTTTTTTCACCGGTGACCTTCTGATAAAGTAGGGTGGTCCTCTCGCGGACCCTCTCTTACGACACTTTATTTATGCCATTCTCTTAACAAACAATTGCCTTGAACAATCACGTAACCATGAGTCGCTTAAAGAGTCTGTCACAGCTAGTAAATATAATGTTTTCGATGTAGAAAAATGTCATACTGATTTGCTTCCAGCTAGATATTTTTCTTTTTAGGGTACATGAATAAATGCAAACATATGCATATATATCACTTATATTGTAGCTATTCGAAAAGGTCAACATGCAATGATTCAATTCAGAAGTCTTTGGATTCAATTGAAACAGCCTGTCTTGGCTTTATTTGTCATTGCTGCTTCCATGTGCGCTCTATTACTCAATATTTGAAGAGAATCTTAAAGCATACAATTTCTCGGCATTATTCAAGCAACAATTGATATTTATTTCTACTGAGAAAAAATAAATTCTGTAAATCTGTCCATACCAAGAAAAGCATTTAGTATTCTTATCCGTTCATGAAAGTTTTGTACAAAAAATTCTCGAACGTTCACGCATGCGAAAGAATAAAGGTCTGTACTTACGCAAAGTTTCATACGCGTAAATATGAATATCATGCAATTTCTGATGCGTTCATATGCATGTTTTTCTTAATTGCGAATGAATGGCAGTTGTTTTATGCATTTAAATCTCATAGTAAAGTAAAAAAATTAATTTTATACCGTATAAGAAAAGTATTTGTTTTAAATTCATATGATCTTGTTGAATAGTCGTTAAAAAACATAGATGCGTCGTTTTCACGAAACAAATTACGAAAAAGTTTGAGAAAAATTAAATTTTAAATCAATGCAAATCGAACAATGTCGTTATGATTAGTAGTATTCAGCGTTTCACGAACAAAGAAAAATGTTAGTGCAGAAGGTCATGAAGCCAAAGAAAATGAGATATATAATATATATAATTTAGTTTTAAAATAATTTGTACTGCGACACGGTTTTCTACAAAACTATTGGTTACATTATTAATTGATAAGAAATTTATTGAAAATAGGAGATTATTGAGAATGAATGAGCATGTCACCATATTGCTAGAATTTTTTCAATAATAAATTTACTTTTCGTTGATCAAACATGCTATTTGAAGTTTGTTTCAACGATAAATAATTACTAAATAAGATTGAAACAATATAATAAATCCAGTAAAACAATATATATTGCAAAGTAATGAATGAGAACAGATCACTATGATTAATAGGTAAAATTCATTGTCACATCACGTAAATGATGAAGATCACAATTACTAAAATGTGTCACTCTTTCAAGGTTATTCTTTATTTTATGTTATTATTCAAGAGACTGGATGTTCTTCAATAATTAGAAAAGCTAAAAGTATATTGATTAGGATTATGACTGATAGAGACATCTGTTTCGTTGAGGTTAAGACAGTATCAGCATATGTTTTCTGTAAAAGAAAGATTTCAATCAATTATAACTTTTAAATGAAAACTGCAGAAACATGAATAACTTATTTTATTTTAACTTATAGCCAAGATCATTATCGAATGATATTACTGAAGTTAATTAGAAACTGCTGTAATATGAATCATTATTTGTACGAAAAATATAATTTGTGCATTTAGCTACATATTAAAGATGGATAGAAGAACATTACACATATTTTACGATTTCTCAGTCAATATTATTCACAAATAAACAAGTTTTAATGAATCATATCAGAAAAAACTAAATCATTGATATGGTGTTTTATTTGATAGATAATTCTGTTGTAATATATAAACCATTTATTTTAAACAAAATTTTCTGCTTAATTCTTTCCTTACAGAAAGTCACATGCAAGTACATGGAATAGTTTTTCAAGAAAAAACCTAGTCGCAAGAAATTCTACACATATAAATGTGAAGATAATCTCAGAATCACTAAAAAGTAACTCTTTTTGCAATAAATAGCCATTAAAATTGTTTTTATCAACAATGAATATTATTCACATTATTTTGCTGCACAACATTTTATCAAGAGTGTAGAACGAGAAATCACTGATCAATAAAATTCATAAGTGACAGTACACTATAAGAGTACTTTAATTCAATGTCGGTTTTCAATGCAAAGCACTTCTTAGCACGTTTTTCTTTCATTCTTTTCTCTTTCCTTCCTTTTTACAAGACACTGAGTCTTGCTTTCACATTGACGCCAAGTTTTTTTCATCGGAGTTGGGAAAAAACCCAATGAGAAAGCAATATAAATATCATACGTGAGCGCATACTATTTACACTTTTTACTTGGTATTCTTGTCTGATCATCATATCAATGGCGACTGCTAGCTCTCGTCATAACACAAAGGCGGTGATTGCCGATGCAGGAGATTCAAAGCATGTTAAACTTGTGTTTGACACATGGACACCTCGGTCTCATTTCATAGTTGTACAATATAAACCACAACAAGATGCCAGTTTTGACGAACTTCAAGCAACTTATGAACTTATTGGTAGTTTCCTTCGTTCAAATCCACAATATGATAATGAAGCCATACTCTCCTTTCACCATGGGCAATGGTATCAAAAGCATACAGGCGAATGGCATGCACATTTGTGTGTACCCAAGGAACCCTACTTAGAACAAGCCAAAAGTGAGGCAGTTCGATTTATTTACTTTAGCAGCACTAAAATAATTTGAAAACTCTTTGAGAGAAGAAAAAAATAGGCAGTATGAATAATGAATAAGATATTAAATACGACATAAACTGAGGTTGTTTCATCTTTGAAATATTTTTTGCAATTTCATAGTAACAGCTTTGACAGAAATCTTTTAGCTGAAGATAAAATATCAAAGAAATGATAATAGAAGACGCATTTATCTTTATTTTATAAAGATCACGGAAATTTCAAATAACAAAGAATGGAGAGATGCTCGAACAGTTGGCGACGGAATTAATAAATGGTATGCACAAAAACAAGAGATATACACCAAATACCGAGATGAATGTCTTAAGAAACCAATTCCAGACCACACTTTAGTGGAGGATGTTCATTTATCAACGCTTCACGCAAATTCAAGAGAATTCAAACTTGTTTGGATGTATCCAGCACCACGCATTGGCGTTAAGGCTTTAAATCCTGAAACCATGACTCTTGCTTCTCTTTATAAGTTTATGTCAGAAATTCGTTCTAATGCTGAAAAAGAATTAGGTCGACGTGATCGAAAGTTCGCGAATTTTGGCTGTCATCTTTGTTTATATGTTTGTGGTCAATTAGGCACGTCTGTGACATGTAGACAGGGTCAAGTTTTTACAGAAAATGGAGAATTGGATACAGATTCGGATATTGCCGGCTACATTCAAATGGACGAATCTCAATACGTCCAGTGGTTACCAAGAAATTTAAGACAAAAATGGCTCAACGAATTTGGGCGTGTCAAGCACTTTGTTGAGACATGATTCCGAAAAAAATATAAAATTTTATAACTCAATCAAGACTTTATCATTCTATATGCTTGTATGTGTTTGTCTGCGTAACACTTCTTAATAACCTATGAATATTATATCAGAATCACTATTAATAAATTTAATTTAGAATAAACTACTCTGTCGAATTTGATGACTCTTCTTCAATTGAAAAATATATACGTTTATCATTTGGTAGAGCAGCTTGCAGCGAGTTGAATAATAGCACTCGTGAAGACGATGGCTACAACATATCTGCAAAACAACTTAGGTAAAGTTGTTTCTTAAAGTCATTCCTATAGAGCTTTAATTATTCTTGAAACATACATATTTGATAACTCACACGATTGACTTCTTCGCGCCCAACATTGATCACTTTGATCATCTTCCCTCAAATTTCGATTTTGAGATGCTTTAGTGTATACAATGCTGTGATTGATAACACAATAGTACCAATGTGCAACTTTCCTAAAAATTGCTCATTATCTAACTCTATAACTGTTTTGTGTTTAATTGGAAGGACATTACAATTAGTTCAGTTTTTCTGTTACTCTTCCACAATAGTTTGGATATTCTTATTCTTATTATTTATTAATGAATATATATCTTTACAACAGTTTAATTTACATTCATTTCGAAAGCATCAGCTTTCTTCTTCGGTGTGTTCAATTGAAAACAACAAAAATAGAGGGGTGGGTGTAGGTGTGCTTTTGCCCCACATTTGTACCGAAAACCACACCCACACCTACTGAACATGAACCAAGTAAACTTCACAATATTCTTTATCAATTATATTCAATTCTCTTTTATTTAGCAACAAATAATATTGTAATTAATACGCCAAATCAACTACGTACAAATGAAATCCGTATTGATCTATTACAAAAATAAAATGATTCATTAAAAATTTCATTAGAAAAACTATTATCGATGAATAATAATCACAGTTCATCATTAGTAACTGGAGAACACTATAAAGAATTAAGAAATCAATCAAGATAATAACAACCATATCGGAGATATTCATATAAAAATGAAATTGTTACACTGGTATAAATTTTTTTACGAATAATTTTTCTTATAAGATGAAATCTCAATTCAGTACGCTGCATTCCATTGAAGTTATACTCTTGTTCAGGAAAAGATGTAAGTGAAAAGAGTCAGTTTTAAATATGCATATGTTTTATCTGAACAAAATCGAGATTATAAGCTCCTTTTACTGAACTGTGACTATCTATTAGCTGAGATAAATCCAATAAAACTATGCGCCGTGTTTTTTTTTCGATAACGTTAAATATATGAGTTGCCACCCATTTGATCAAATCGTTTTATGTATATGGAAAGTAAAAGAAATACCATTATGCTTATTAAATAATCAAACTATTGAACAAAAACATGATTTTACAGAAACAAGGCAAAATTTAATTCACTTGAAAAAATTACTCCAAACATTTTTTATTCAAGACCTGTCACAATCGTAGACTGTATTCCACATTTTAGTGAAAATGATTATGTAGCAAATGGATGGATTAAAACTGATCCTGATGTTATTCCTCTAACATAACCAAATCTCGATATTAAAACTTCACCTAAACAATATGATCAATCATGATCAACAAATTCAACACCAATTCAAACAATATATAAAATCAGAAATAAAATTATTCTTTCACTAAACTTTTTTTCTTATGTAGAGATTTGATAATAACATCTGAATCTCCTTCATCAACTGTGACACATTCTTCTCGAACTATAGACTATAGTCGTACATGAATAACTCCTTCACCATACCATGTGATTATGAAATAATAATTGGTTTGATATTTTTATTAATTCAATTTTAATAAACATTTCTTCTTCGTAGGAAAAGGTCGAACAACAAGTCATCGTCAGCAACTAAAAATTGTTATTCTGCAAATGATAATACTCTTCAAGATGCTTCATTACTAAAAAGTTCAAGAACTATAGCATCAGCTAAACCACGAAGATCTGCAACAAGTACTGCGATAAATCAATGTGCAACTTGTACAAAATCATATGATGACAAACGAAACTATGATATACATAAATTATATTATAGGACTTTAAGTCCATAATAGGAGTATTCTTTTTTTTAAACAAGAAAAGAAAGAAACTGCATATGTTACAAATAAAGAACAAACGAAGAATTAACTTTTTTATTTCTTTTTTCTTGTATAACACGCGAAAAAATTCAACATGTTATGTAAATGGATATAGTTGATGATTAATCAACTGATTGATTTAGTTTGTCGATCTATTCAAACCACATATCAATTAAGCTTTGCTCAATAATGTATCTTTTGTTGGTTCTAAGACAAATAAAGCATATTTATTGTGAAAGAAAAGAAAAGAAATATACGAATCACAAAGCGTAGTAATGTGTAAACGATATCAGTCACCTTTAGTTATTATAGCTCGGTGTTTTGTAACATATATTAAGTTCACCATTAAGAGTGGGGTGTGGGTGAAGTGCAGATGTAGCTGTAGGTGGGTATGAGTGTATGGTGTTTTAAACTGAAAGAAATACATCCACACCCAATTTGACCTATTATAGAGAATAATCTCAATTGAGTTACTTTGCGTTGTGATACTGTAACCATATCTTTATATCCAATAGAAAACATTCTGTTGTGCTTTATACCACCAAGATTGACAAAAATGAGACAGTTACCCAATCCTCTAGTTAACTATATACCGTCATATTCATCAGGTAAAGAAACTGACATTTTTTTTATCTACAATATATTTAAAAACAAATGCTTAAACATTGTTTCTTTTCTGTCGAATTATTCGACTGGAATCATTACATGATTTTCAATCGAAATTTACTTATTTTCAACACTAATATATCGAAGTAATAATGAAGATGTTACACATTCATATTGATATTCATGATCTTCTTCTGTTTTTCGATATTCATTTATGTAAACCATCATCATATATAAGAAAAATAACTAATTTCTTGGCTTGTTCATGTACAGTATAATCTTATTTTTTTTTGACTTTTTCATATGTTAAAAATCTTTTAATATTTAAATATAAAAGTTTCTTTCTTTACATTGTTTATTAATTCATTTATTTGCACATTTTATTAAATGATCAAATAAAATTAAAAATATATACATATAACGTTCACATTTCCAATGATAATTTCAGGCCACCTAAAAAAGTCAATTTTCGTCAGAATCCTTGAAATAGAAAAAAATGCGTAGGAAGATAGTCGGTGATCTGATCTTTCATAAACGACAACATTTTTTCTCGGTATCTCGTTTTTCACTTCAATCTTGGAAGATTTTTGCCATCTTCTATTCGAAAAATATGCTGTTTTCAGAAAAAACAGAAAATCTTTTTCGTTTTTTCTCAATTTATGCTTTCTTGATCGCATAAGCAGGAATTCTCTGTGGAGCCACATTGTACACATTTAATTTAATTTTTGTTTGAAAGAGCATGTTAAATACAATGCCTACCGGAGCTCTTTTTTTTTTAAATTAAGCTTTGTTTCTATTAGATGTACGAACAATTATATAAATAGAGCACCATTTTTAGAGAGTTGTTTGAGTCATTGAACTTTTCATGCCCTGTTCCCCTTAAAAAGTAAGAATTAAAAACAAAAGGGTTTCGGTACGCACTGTAACCTGACTGACTCTTTCAAGCAAGAATAAAAATTAAATATATAGAATGAGCCTGGACCGAAAAATTTGCTTTGTCAAATGAGCTGCTTTTCACCTTTGTTTGGTCAATATCTCTCTCAAATGTTACGATATAGGTCAGAAAGTTTTATCATAACCTGTCCATATCCAAGCCCAGCATCTTCTGAAAACTTCGCGTCACTTGAACATACCTGAGCTAAGATCGGTTTTTGAGAAGGACCTTAAATATTTCTATATAAATAAAATTGAATAATCAAAATAAGATTTAATTAGCAAAGACAATGTTACTTGACATATTGTTCAAGTTGTTTATCAATAAACATTTTTTATTGTTCTGTTATTGGTTTACATGTATAACAACATTACATGTTGCTTCGTCATTTCTAATTTTGATGAATTATTAAATTAAAAAAATAAATCTTAATCTTTATTTGTTTAGAATAATAAAAACAAACTTTTGTTGATTTCATTTTTTTATCAATTGAAAAGTTTTTATTCATTTGTTGAAGAAAGATTAATAATATTTGTTAGTGAATTTTTAGGCTTATTAACAAGAGGTTTTGTTGATTGCCAATATAATTGATTCATTCATTGATGTTGTCATACTAATTATTTAAAATTATTAATGCAACCATCGATCTATAAGAATAATAATATTAAACATGCATTTTTCTTTTCCACTAACTAATTTTCTATAACTTTATTCATCTTCACTTATTAAATATTTAATATACAAGCGACAACCCATGTATACTGCACGGCAGCATTTTTTTCTTTAACATTACGACCTCAAAGTTTTATTAGCTATAAGCATCAAGACTAATGGTTAACTTTTTATGTTGTTTTCATTTTAATCGCCTGAAAAGTTGAAAACCAACAAAGTTCACAAAAAGGAAGGGTTGTTATAGGTAAAATCATCCATCCTCGCTCATAAAATCCAATTTTATCTTACTCATTTCGTCATTTTGATAGTCAAACAATCTTTCAATAATAAGATCAGATTTTTTAAGACATTCTCTCCTGTATACCACGTGATTAAGAAGCTAACCGAGATTTTTTCATGTTTTATGAACTCAAAAAGTTTAGGTTATACAGTGTTTTCATGGAAAATATTCCGTTCATTTGCTCATTTATTTAGCTGATCTATATGTCGGACTACGATGTTTCAGCTTTCTATAGAATGTTGCATGAACATATAAAAAAAGATTCTTTCTTGCCTTTTCTTATATAAAGATATGATGTTGCATATAGTATATCACTAATGTACTTCCATGACAAATATCATCTAGTGCTCTTCTCGAATAGTAGCAGTCTACTTGAAATTTCATATCAATTGATAGATCTAGACAAAACCTACTAAATGATACTACGAAATCCAAGAAAGAAGAAGTGACAGGATATGCCTTCTTTTTTTGAAATAATCAAACCAGCTCTATGTTGAAAATGGCTATGTATTACGTTTAAATGATAGAATCAGAGTTTTCGTTGATTGAAATGCATAGATCTACTCTGTATTGCATACAAAGATAAGTGTGGTAGTGAAAGGAGATGTATGATTGGTAAGAAGAATGTTCACATTCAAACCAGACATAATGAAAGGCCTCATAAAAGTGCAACCCGAGGTGCTCTTTACAACGTATTTTTCTCAGCGAGCTTGCATAAAGCACTCTAAAAAAAGTAATTTGAATATACCTTACGGCATACCTACTATTTTTTTCTGGAAAACCGATTAACTATTAAAGAAATAATCTAGGAAAAAAGATATGCCAAAATGCATAAGTTGAACAGTTTTGTCGCTTTCGTTACATGCCGCTGTATGCGCAAAACAAAACGATAAATGAATAATTAGCCAATAGACCACAACACATCTAGAATATGACACATTTCCATGATACAGTCGGCGGCATATTTTATTTTAGTGCATTTGAATGAGTGCAATGCGACTATTTAAAATTAAGTCCGATAGTAAATATTTCATATTGTATTGTGCTTTTCCGGGATAAACATCAATTCAAAAATCTTTCTCATTTGTATCAATAAGATGCTTTTTTGCCGTGCACGTATATATAGCCCCAATGTAAACATCTGCAAAAATAAAAAAGCTTACGAAAAACCTATCTTTACATCATGGCACATTTTTTTATGTTTTTATTACATAAAAAAATGAATGCCCTAGAAAAATGACTTTTCAGTATTCGTTCGATTTTAACGATCTTTTCAATGTATTACTTATCATACCCAGTCTGTAGATTTTCGCGACATAAGATACTGAGGAATCAATCACCGTGAAGAGAAACTGAACGAATAGAATGTAATAAAAAGCATTGAATGGATTTTTCATGCATTTTGATCGATTCTAACTCGTCAACCCGATTTAAGAACATAGGTAGGTAGGGACAAAAAGTTCTTCATGAGATGCAATCACATAAATAGAAAGCAAGGAAAAAGGCATTATGCAATATTAAGTTTCTTCAATAGTTCTTTTGTTTGCATATTTTATCATCACATGTTCACTTATTATACAGACACGAACGGAAGAATAAAACTCGATGACACCAATAATAAAAATTGCTTCGTGTTTGTTTTTATTACTCTTGAATGAAGAAAGAAAGATTCGTGGCTTCAATATCTGTATCGATATTAGTTTAACGAATATCAACGATTCTTTTCATTACTTCTCAATTGTATTCAAACATACATGGCTCTTTTCCACATGCGTACAAGCAGAACAATAGTTATCAATAAATGCATTTTTCCTGATATGTTTCCTATTATTATACGCTTATAATAAACAAAGTTCTAATGATACATGTTTGCATAGGACAGGAGTTTTTCTTGTTGTCATTGTCACGCATGTTTAAAATGTGTGAGTTTTAAATATGAACAAACAAAATTTGAATATTATTGATATATAACTCGTAGAAATTAATGAAAGAAGAGCTGTTAAAACATCATAAGAAAACTAGATTTATTATTGTACACATATTTCGAATGAACACAAATCAAAAATCACTTTAGCAATATTGTGAGTGATGATGTATTCATTTCGTATATGGCCAGATTAAAGCCCATAAGTGCAATTAGGTAGTTCTTAAATTTTTGCAATACCGATTCGGTAGCAGCTTGTATGCATTTCTAGATGAAATTTGGATGATAACTTATATAAAACTTTTGCTTGTTTGCTATATCAATGTGCAAAGTGTTGACTAAAATGTTTCATTCATTTTTAAATTGGTGATAGAGACTTCGATGTTTCATTATTTTTAAACTTCTATAATGCAAATCATGATAATTCCAATCACCATGAGACACGATACATATCATTGAGAATTAAGTACAATGAGAATAGTTCTTTTACTTCAATTACTGGTTAATGATCAACAGAATATTCGACAAGTCGTAATTCTTGTCTCTATTAAAAATAAAATTATGTTTTTTCTTGTTTCGTTCACACAAACCAGCATGTCAATCATATGCATAATGAGAAAAAAATCCAACTGACGTTGTCTTTCCTGTCGTTTTCGTTCTTGTTAGAAAGAGGAAAAAAGATTGTTTTGAAAGAATCAAAGAAAAATATACAACGGATGAGACAAGGTATCTAATGCAGTGAAACGTAAGTCACAGTTCACATAACACGCAAATTGAAAGTCAGAAAAAATAGTTATAAAATAAATGATGTTGTCTGTTTTTTTCTGTCATTTATTATTGACAAGCATATTATTAATTGCGTCTAGATACTGCTTGTCCTTGAGTGCTAACGAAAAAAAACACTCACATTTAACGTCATAGAAAAATCGAGAAAAAAAACAACGAACATCAAATGTATAAGTAGAAAAAGTGAACGCTGCCCACAAAGCTATATATTAGTCACCATAATTCATTATAGATCGAACACGAAACATTATATCTAAATGGGTGGACAGATATCCAAAGAAAATATAACAGCCGCATCGACTGTCGCGGGAGGAAGACGACGCATGACTGAAAATTACTTGGTCATCTGGGTCGACGGAAACATTGATCCAACCAATAAAGATTGTCAACATACACTCGCGGAATTGCGTGGTGTTGTCAACCAAGTCAATCCTTGTACCACGACGGAAGAATGTATTCAATTGCTCAATGAAAATAATGAGGAGACCTCATTCGTTATCTGCTCTGGTGCACTTGGACAGCAGCTCGTTCCAGACATCCATAACATGCCAAAACTTGATGCCATTTACATTTTTTGTCGCAACAAACAATGTCATGCAGCATGGGCAGAAAATTGGGCAAAAAATAAAGGTGTGCATACTTTAATCAAGCCTATTTGTGATGAATTGAAAATGGCTGTCAAGCAATGCAATCAAAACACCATGCCGGTAAGCATTGTTGGTGCGAATGAAGGAGGTTCTAGCAAAAAGCTCAATCAGCTTGAACCGGCTTTTATGTATTCTCAAATATTCAAGGAAATCCTCCTTGACATGAAACATGACAAAAAAGCTATCGAAGACCTAGTTACCTTTTGTCAAGAAGGATACCGTGACAATGTCCAAGAAACAAAAATTATTGAAGAATTCGAAAAAACATATCAACCATCAAAAGCCATTTGGTGGTATACACGTGAGTGCTTCACATATAAAATGCTCAATCGAGCATTAAAAGTATTGAACGGCGATATCATTATAAGAATGGGCTTTTTTCTTTGTGATGTACACCGACAAATCGAACATCTACACAACAAGCAGCTCAATCAATATCATGGAAAGGCTTTTACAGTTTATCGAGGTCAAGGATTATTGACAGAAAACTTCGAAAAACTTGACAAAAACAAAGGTGGGCTTATATCTTTTAATAACTTTTTATCCACCAGTAGAAATAGAGATGTGGCCCTCCGTTTCGCCAAGGAAGCCTTAAGAACAACCGATACAGTCGGTATTCTTTTTCAAATAACCACTGATCCCATGGTCTCATCGACTCCGTTCGCATCCATTCGAAAGGTGAGTTACTTTCCGAAAGAAGAAGAAATTCTCTTCTCCATGCATACAGTTTTTCGAATTGGTGACATTCGAAAACTTCACAACAACAGTTCACTTTATGAAGTAGACCTTAAACTGACGTCAGATGACGACAAACAACTTCGTGAATTAACTGACTTTTTACGAAAAGAGGTCAGCGGTATTGGATGGTATCGAATGGGTCAATTACTGCTCAAAATAGATCAATTCGACAAGGCTGAAGAATTGTATACGGCACTTCTAGAACAAGCATCCGACGACCGTTGGAAAGCATGTATCTATCACCAACTCGGATGGGTGAAATAAGATCAAGAAAAATATGCCGAAGCAGCTTCATTATTCGAAAAATCTCTCGAAACCTACCAAAGAACTCTTCCGGAAGATCATCCTTCACTGGGTACTATGTATAGCAATATTGGTCAAGTGTATAACAAAATGGATGACTACTCGAAAGCACTTGAGTTTTATGAAAAAGACTTAGAAATCACGAAACAAGCTTTGCCTCTAAATCATCCCGATTTCGCTATTTCCTATAGCAATATCGCTTCGGTGTATAACAAGATGGGTGACTACTCGAAGGCACTTGAATTTTACGGAAGAGCACACAAAATCTACGAAAAAGCCCTGCCTCCCACTCATCCCGATTTAGCTACTTGCTATGGCAACATCGGTGCAGTGTATGATAGCATGGGTGACTATTCAAAAGCACTTGAATTTTACGAAAGAGATCTGGAAATCACAGAAAAAGCTCTGCCTCCGACTCATCCCGATTTGGCTACTTCCTATAGCAACATTGGTGGAGTGTATCACGACATGAATGACTACTTGAAAGCACTTGAGTTTTATGAAAAAGCACTCAAAATAAGAAAAACAGCTTTGCCTCCGACTCATTCCTCATTGGCTACTTGCTATAGCAAAATTGGCCAGGTCTATGATAGCATGTATGATTACTCAAAAGCACTTGAATTTTACGAAAAAGCACTTGCAATAAGAGAAAAGGCTCCGCCTCCCAATCATTCCACATTGGCTATTTCCTACGGCAAGATCGGTCAAGTGTATAACAACATGTGTGACTACTCGAAAGCACTTGAATTTTATGAAAAATCACATCAAATCTACGAGAAAGCTGTGCTACCAACTCATCCCGATTCGGTTGCTTGCGATAGCAATATTGGTGCAGTGTATAATAAAATGGGTGACTCTTCGAAAGCACTTAAGTTTTACGAAAACGATCTAGAAATCACAAAAAATGCTCTGCCATCGACTGATCTCAGTTTGACTACTTCCTACAGTAACATCGGTCAAGTGTATAACAACATGGGTGACTACTCAAAAGTACTGGAACTTTATGAAAAATCACATGAAATCTACGAAAAAGTTATACCTCCGACTCATCTGGATTTGGCTACGTCCTGCAACAACATCGGTGGAGTGTACAACACCATGGGTGACTACCCGAAAGCACTTGAGTTCTACCAAAAAGCACATGAAATAAAAGAGAAAACTCTTCCTCCAAATCATCCCGGTTTGGCTGCTTCCTACAACAACATCGGTCTAGTGTATAATGACATGGGTGACTATTTTAAAGCACTTGAATTTTACAAAAAATCGTATAAAATCCTCGAGGTAGCTTTACCTTCAAATCTTCTCCATGTGGCTTCGTCCTTCAGCAACATTGGCTCCGTGTATTACAGCATCGGTGACTATTCGAAAGCACTCGAGTTTTACGAAAAAGCACATCAAGTCAAAGAAGAAGCTGTTCCTCCGAACCATTTCTCATTGGCTGCTTCCTACAGCAACATCGGTGAAGTGTATTACGCCATGGGTGACTACTCGAGAGCACTTGAATTTTACGAAAAATCATCCAAAATAAGAGAAACATCTCTGCCTCCGAATCATCCCTCATTGGCTGAAACTCAATTGAGTTTTGCAGCGTGTTACGAACGAATAAATGATTACGCAGCAGCACTTAAGGCTCTTCAAAATGCTTTTCAAATTCAACAAAAAGCTTTTGGAGAAGGTAATCGAGCTTTTGGTCGTACATACACCTAGTTCGGAAGAGTTTATCGTGGTATGAAAAATTATTCAAAGGCACTCGAGTATTTTGAAAAGTGTCTCACAATGCGTCAAAAAATGTTACCAGAAAGACATCCTTGTCAAGCTACTACATACAGTAATATAGGTGATGTTCATCGATTAATGGGAGATTATGAAAGGGCAATTTCATGTCATCGAAATGCATTAAATATTCAAGAAAATATTCAATGTAATGCCCTTGAATGTGCAACAACATATACATATTTAGGTGAAACTTATCGAGAAATAAAAGATTATTCAACAGCATTGACTTATCTTCAAAAAGGATTACAAATACGTGAAAGTAAACTACCAAAGGATCATCCTGAAATAGCTGTTATCTACCACAGTTTGGCGAAATTATATTTAGCTATTGGAGAGTATAGTATGGCCACGAAAAATGTTCAACAAGCGGTAGAAATTGCTCAAGAAAAACTGCCTTCAAATCATCCTCATCTTTTAGACTACAAAGAAACATTTGAAGAAATTCAAAAGAAGCTGTAATTTGTTTCTTGCTTTCTCAATAAATTGGTTTTGATTGATATTTACTTCCGTTTTCGGCTTTTCTCAGTTCATTATCACGTATGCGGGCACGGGACCAGGGAGATCCTAGTAGGCCTGTAATGAATACACGCAGCAAGGACCACGCTAAACTAGTAGGAGAATGAACGTAAGTATGATGTACAATAACGGCAATAGAGACTCACGAGCATAGGGGCCTTCACGAGTACTACACTATTGTCGCCATAACAGGCACAAGAAATCTGCAAGATTCAGGCTACGAAGTCACCTGACTGACTGCGATATAAGACGAATACTTTCCTCTCCTTTCTTGCACAACAACATCGTTAGAAATAAAAATTTAACATAGAATATCGACAATAAAGTTTCGCTAAGTGTGACACCACGAAATTCCAGAAACAATACACAGAACTAGATATATATGTGTGAGCTTTCTTTCTAGACTAATCGGAATGCTGTCTAGACGTGTGTCAGATTTGGTGACTTATCTAGTGGAGTCCTTTGACAAATTTTTCATATATATATTGAAGCCCGTTCAATCAAATGAAAATCAGTTTATCTAGCAGAGTATTCAATGAGTCATAAGTTGTTTCTTCCTTTCAGATCGTTATAAATTATTCTTTCTATTGTAGTACCACTTCAACTAGTTGATACTTGGAATATATCACAAGTATTGTAAGAATTATTACTACTGGAACAAAGACTTCCTTAATGGCACCATTCCCGTTTTCCGACCCAAAAAAATTCATTTTATTCGATTTCGTTTTTTGTATCTAAACAGGCATTGAAGAGTTTTCTATCGCATGGCATACGAACAAAAGGCTTTGACGTTTGTTTAGATCCTTAAAAAAACTCGACATTCGATAGTCCCTATACAAAAAATGATGTTCTACAACTTTTTCACGTTGTAAATTACCTATACTAATATGGTTATGTCGTCATCAAAATGTTTTGTGTGGGTTAACGATGCATCCTCTCGTCACTTTGCAACAGCATTAATTGATAGTTATGCATAAAAAATAAAAAACATAAAATATCGAAAAAATGCTGTTGTAATGCTATTTCGTGTTCTACTCAAAATCAACTTTTTCAACGAAGAATTAAATTTTTCTTCCTTTTTCTCCCAGACACTTGAACCGATTGAGCTGAAATATTTTTTGTGCGGCAACTAGAACTTAATCGAAATAGCATATTTTTTCTTTTTTTGAAATCGTGTTCTGGTGCGTTGTGGTAGATCTTACAAAAGTTGCTCTAGAAAAAAAAATACTTTTTTTAATAGGACTTCCAATATTTCAGTTCAGCTAAGCGAAGGAAACAATATTTTTCAAAGAAAAACAAAAATATACACTCTGATTTGGTTCTAGTTATCGCAAAAAGAATTCAGCCATAAAATAATGAATTTTGACTGTTTGCGAGAGAGAAAACTTTAGGTCACTTTGGGCACCTACGCCACCTATATCTCACAGGAGCAAACACCTGGAAATTCTGAATCTATGGCAACTTCTACTCTACTAGTCAGAATCTATCTACTCTGAAAATTTCATAATTTGTGGTTCAACTATTCTTGAGAAATCCGGAAAAGAGGGAAGGGTGCTCTTATAATGTGTTGTCTTGGTTAAGGTTAATCGGCAGTGCTTTATATTCGAACTCTTCTAGATCTTGTGTAAACAATGTCAATTATTGTTTGACTATGCAAAAAGATAGAGAATCAAGGTTGAAAACAGAAATAAATTCATTAGGTACACTTTTTAAAGTTAAGTATCAAATATTGTACACACTGGAAATAGAAACGAAAATTTTCATTATTCCCAAAAAATATGTACGGATCGATTCTATTGAAATTTTTTTCATATAATAATATCAGTTAGAGAATAGTGATATAATGAAAAAATATAGAGCATAGTTAGTATTACAAGTACATTTGCAAAAGAGTTTTCTTCAAGCTTCCCAAAAGAGTACAATAATTTTTAATATTTGCATATAGTTTTTTTTTCTTTCTAATAAATACGAGAATTATTATTATAAATAGATAGCTTTATTTTTTTCTAAATTGCTGATTTTTTATATCGATCAATTACAAGTCGAAGAACAACAGCAAGTGAGAACTAAAAGAGTGCAGGAAATATAAATATACAATGCATGATACAAACAGCGATGATATGAACAGCACACAAGAAATTATTTGTTGTGAAAGTTACTTCTTGTATGATCGGTAAGCTATTATTGGATAATAACCAATAACATTCTTTCCTGGATAGTTGTTCTAAAATCATGAGAAAGAATATGATATATATTCAAATCATAATTCCAGCTGAAGTAGGTTAAGAAATTTTCTGAACTATACATATGATTCATGATCAAAGGTTTATCTTGGCCACATTCTGTCGTACTGAATAATGCAAGCAGATGCATATTATCAGTTTTCGTTTTTCTTTTGACTCCCATGATATGTGACGAACATCGTGGGTAGAGAATCGAATTTTTCTAGATCTGATCTTCCATATGTTTAATCGAAAGAGTTTTTACTATTTAGACAAGTAGGAAAACAATTTCCCACCATGTTAGAAATTTATACAAGTATAAGTCTTCATCAAATTTGCGTAATATATTCAAACATATATTAAACTTGTCTGAGTTTAAATTGTTGCCCATTAATCTGTTGTACCAGAGAATACTATTGATCAATAGTCTGAACAATGGCGTTTGTTACAATATTCGTTTGTAGAGCTCAATCAGCTGATGATCTCACTGACAATATATTTATCATATTACGTTGCAGTTGAGGAATTAAACATAGTCAAACCTTAGAAAAAGAAACCATTGTATCATTTTATTTCAGTGATTTCTATTTCTATTCTAATCTAAGTTTTAGTAGTCAAACATTTAATATCGGTTTCACCATATTTAGCTGTAGATATTTCACCTGGACTAGAAGTTCTTGGTTTGGACCTTTTTGTCTACTTCAATATCACTTGAAGTGCTATTATATAAAAATCAAATAGGTGCACAAATTTGATATTGCCTATGTTTCGAATATGTCTTGCCAAGTCTGAAGTCTCATATTCAGATCAAACGTATTATGTTTCACTGTGACAAGTATCCCGTTCCAATGTCTCTTTACTTATCAATAAAAAAAAGTCTTTTTGTTTTTTTTTAATATTCTTATTTAATTCGTTTTACTTTGTTAGTTATCAATGTAGAATTTGCAGTAGTGGTAGAATAATTTGAAAATGCTGAAGCACCCGATATCCGTGGTAAAAAAGACATTGGACCACTTTTATTCGATTGCATATTTGTAGGTGAGCGATTAGGTAAACCATCGGCACCTACTGTTGAGAAACTACTATAATAAGGTTGAGATTGATGTGGTTGAGAATAATGATAATTTGAAATTGTAGATTTTGTTTTTGTGTTATATTTATGTTGCATAGGCTTCTTTATTGATTGACCTTGAATTCGAGTATCAACCAATGATTGAGCTTTCGGTGGAGGATAAAGAATCTAAGCAAAAAATGAATTGATTAATGGAAGAAGTAATAAGAAAACGAATACTCTTTTGAAATCAGGTTTGAGCGTTTGTGGATGTCCTACAGATGAATTATACATATTTGATCTTGGTGATGTACTTGGCTCATCAACACTTGATCCACTACTACTTGAATCAGATCGGATATAACGATCTTCACTTGTTTTTGTTACTCGAAGAGCAGCATTCCATAAACTACCACCTTGTTCTTGCATTTGTTCATTTTCTTGATTTCTATTACAAAAAATGAGATTTTCCTTTTCTCCTTGAATCATTTTACTCTTCTTACCTTATGACATCAAAATATGTATGGTGAAGAGCTTGAGTTGCTGAAATACGATGATCCGGATCATATACACACAATTGATTAATTAAGTCGATTGTGTCAGATGAACAATGTGCTAAATGACGAGCAATACCGGTACCACGACGAGGAGGGAAATTGAAATCGACTGCAGAATTTCGACTGAAAAAAAGTTCTTTATTTATTTGCAATAAAAAACAAATAATAATAATTTAAATCATCACAAATTTCATAGAGTGAAACTGATAAAATACTTAAAGTCGTTGTTAAGGATTATTTTTTGGTTGAGTGGATTACAAACACATAATATAACAGCGATGGAGCTAATGACGACAACTAGTTGCTGAGATTTACTCTCAATACAAACTTTTACACCTGCTGATTAATTAGATTGATCTACTTAAAGCTAATCCGTAGGGAGAGACCGACTTTGATTTTCTCTATCAAATATCTATTTTGAAAGTCAACATGTAACAAAAAACTTATTGCAAACATCGCTTCGAAAATCGTTATTGAGAATTATCTGTCCTCTTTCAAATGCTGAAAAGCGCAGAGTATCAGCTATTTCTATCCCCGAGTTATTCGCGATACAACCAAAGTCTATTGACTTTTTGAATACTTAGTAGTTTTCGAAATCGGTAAGTTTTTACATATAACATATAAGTATATATATGTAAGTATTAGAAGATTCCACAACAAAGTCAATAGTTAGTTTTATTTCAAACATATAATTCCATTAACATTCTAAAGTCAATATTTCAAACCATAACAATATCACCTTTTAAAAATAAACTTACTGTTGAAATTTATCTAATGTGCTAGCTGGTGGTGTACCTAATACATCATGAATTTTACTAATTTGGTCCAATTCATTAGTGCCAGGAAAAAGAGGTCGAAGGGTTATTATTTCAAACATAACACAACCTTTAAATGGAAGAAAAAATTATATTCTTTAAAACAAATAGACTTTGATGTAATATTTACCAGCAGACCAAATATCCATTTGATTACGATAATATCCATCTGTTAATAAACATTCAGGTGCTCGATACCTAGTGAATAGACAATACAAAAAAATAAATATTATTTTGTGGACCACAATCTAAAAGGAGTTTTGACCTATAAGTTACGACATCAGGGAAAATTGATATCTGACAAAATTAAACTGTTCGACAGACAAATCAAGTATATTTTCTTAATCCCCAAGTGAAACTCTCTACAATAGTAAAACAATATTTTTTAATTTGCACGTTCATCTTCTGAGAAAAAAAATAATATTTTTGTTCTACAGTGTCATCCCAACAGTTAGTCTGATAAAACGAGCAATAGACTTACATCCAACCTCCAAACTTTTCCAAAATTCGTCAAAAGATTCTTTTATTTTCAGTTTTTATGGCTTCGAGAAAAAGAGTTAGTCAACAGAAATAGTATATTGTGAATCAGCACATAAAACTGTGCCGAATGATATACAACGCAAAACAATTTTGAAGAAAAAAATTTTCTCGGAAAAATGAGAACAAAGGTCCCCTCAGGCATTTTTCGTGAAAATTTTTTTTGTTTAAAAATCCTCTTCTGAGTCATATCTAGTCTTTTCTGAGCAAGAAAGTCACATGTTCGCCTACTATGCAAAAAATACATCCTGTGCCCGCCCCCTCCTCTGCTTAGACTGTGACAGGTGTTGATATACAACTACAGACTGTATATAAATAGCGTTTCGTTAAACTACTTTCTTATTGCATTTCAGAAGGATCTAGTCAAAAGATGATGAAGAAATGTGTCCCAAAACTGATAGAATAAAGCTTTTTATAAAGATTACCATCGAGTAGAGATGTATTCAGTAAACGGGTGTTTTGATAAAGTTTGTCGACAAGATCCAAAATCAGCTAATTTTAAAATATCATCTTTAATAAGAATATTTTCTGGTTTAACCTAATAGTACAAATAAATATATGTTTGTCTAATATTCATTGTTCAAAACTTACATCTCTATGAAAGAATGTATGTCTATTTAAAAAAAACAATAACAAAAAATTATTTTTTATTTAAAATCAATTTTTTAAAATTTCTATTACCTATGAAGATACTCTAGAGCTTTAACTAATTGATACATAAATTTGCATACAGTTTCACTTGGTAATAATCGTTGTCGACCACGAATAAATTCGTATAAATTCATAGTCATTAATTCAAATATTAAACAAAGAGTACCAGTTCGTTTATCACTAATGAATATTAATTTAAAATCTTATGTTTATAAATCAAGCAAAAACAAAAAAAGTCAATTTACAAAATAATTTCACGTAGAAAAATTATATTCGGATGACCATTAAGTTGTTTAAGGACACGTATTTCACGTATTTGTTGAATTTCATCCATGCTTAAAAAATAAAAGATGAAAAATCAATGTCAAAAAAGATCTCTAAATAGCTGTTCTTATTTTTACCTTTTATATAATTGTTTCATTTTTTTAGCTGCCCAAAATGTTCCATCACGTACATTTTGACATTTTAATACTTCGGAAAAGGTACCCTCACCTTTTTTCCCCAGTATTCTATATTCTTTATAAAAACAAACAAAATCAGACAAGTAATAATTAAATTTTTATAACGTTTAATTTCTCTCTCTCTCTTACTTTCCATTGAAGTTAATGATCACCGGTAATTAAAACTTTCAAATAAAAAATTACCATTCATAATCTATAGCATGTATATTTATAAATACATATATATACAAAACAGTAAATGATTTTTTTTCTATTTTGAATGCTAATGTTCGAGTGTTTGAAGCTTTAAAAATGCTGCGTATGTTATATTTTCTTTTTCAATTGAGACAGGTGAAAATTTATAAAAAAAAATCGTTGCAGAACAGAAGAAGGAAGATGTGAAGAAACAAAAAATGTTCGAGTACTTCACTCATATAAACATAAGAAGAAATTTGCTTTGCTTCTAGAAGAATAATAATAAGTTCATATGTTTGAAAAATATTTTAGCGTTCCGTTCAAATTTTACACCTTTTAGTCAGTCAATATGGTTTCATTTTTTTCTCATCCTACATATTTACTTGACAACTAACTGGTCAACAAGGATTAGATCGATTTACAAGTATTTATCTACTTTAAAAAAAAAGGAGTTCACACTACTGTAGTATTTGTTCGTTCTTCTTTTGCTTTCAAACATGAATTGTGTTGTTACTAAGGTAACAACAGTCCTTTTATTATTCTTTAATACAATGCATAGGCGTAACGTTTGAAGGGAATAAACAGTGTTGATGTAGATAAAATTAATTTCCATAGTATTTCTATAAAAAAAAGAGTATTTAGAAATCCATATATATGAAATAGTTATATGCAATATAAAAAAACTAATTAAGATTTTGGATAAAATACGATTGAAACCTTTTTTTAACTAAAATGGAAATATCTATCAGATTTATCAGTAAGAAGCTTTGAAAACATAAGCAATTTTGTTAATTCTTTTGTTTTAGTAATACGAATAATAAATTTGTTGAATAGAGAATATACGATGGATTAAATATGAATTTAATTATAATTTTCTATGGATTCTATTTATGTCTGTATTAGAGAGGACTTAAATTAGATTATTTCGATCCGATCGTGTCAAAATGTTCATGTTACAAGAGTATTCATAATCACTTATAATAAAATGAAGATGGAAACTCAAATTAATTTCTAGAACAAATGAAACAACTAAACTAACTAAACTATTAACTATAATTCAGTTAAGCACCTGAAGTATATTTTTACAATAAAGTTTCTTTACAAAAGTCTATCATAGATTTTTGAAAATTTAACAATACATCTAGTTTAATCATAAGAATTATAGCATACCTATTAATATAATTTCTAGCCATATCCAAAAGAGTTAAATTTAAACTAATGCAATAAAACCCATATATGAATTCAAAATATGCTTCTTATGAAATTTCATTGATTCGAGAAATTATTTACTTATATCAAATCTATTTCTTTGTTTAGAGTTTTGATATTTAATGCCGGAGTTTCGTAGTTGAAAAACTTTCTTTCAAAAATAAGAAAAATCACAAATGTGTATGTAGTGTGTTCGATTTTTTCTAAATATTCAAAAATGATGCATCAATTGATACTAATTTACGTAGAAATAAATTAATATTTTTCAGTTGTCTATTTTTTAAATAAAACTTAAATAAAACAAACATTTGTTGTTGTTCTTGTAAAGTAACTATTATTTTGTTTAATGCTCATATAAACTCAACAAATTGAGTTGTTTCTTCGAAATCAATACCATCATAAAGACTTATACAAATATCACCTAGAGCACAATGACCTTTTAATTCTATCATATTTGATTTAATTGCTTCATTAATAAATAATGATTCAAATCGTTCATTTTTTATAGTATTTGTGGAAATACGTAAAGAAATGTTTACACAGCTACGACATTTTCCATCGATCGTATCTACATAAAAGCAATTAGATTGATCAATTTTTTTATCTGATAGCTGATTCATTACGTTTAGGTCATCTTGTCGTTTTATTCAATTGAACATTTTATTTGCAATATAAATTCTAAAATAAATAAAAATAGTAAATGTTTCAAAAACCTACTTACAAGGGAACATTCCCAAGTGATCCGCTCCCTTTTGATTCATTCATACCTCATTCGATAGAGTGTATTGAGATAAGAAAAGGCTTAAAAGGATTCGTGCCCATGGTCTACCGATGAAGATTTATGGTCATTTTACTGAAATTTTTACTGTGAGTCAGGCATTTCGGGAAAAACCAAAATGAAGAATTTTGACCTGAAATTTTACTTATAGATAGATTTAATAGCCTTTAGATAGTCCTGAAAGCTTCAATGACAACGAGCCTGTCTTTCTCGAGATATTCAATGTCCAACTAAACTGGATTATTGTACCCTCCTATGGTAAACAGCTGCTTTTTGAAAATTGAATAACTTGAGAAAGGCATGTTCGTTTTCGTTGAAACTTTCAGGACTATCTAATGACTATTAAATCTATCTATAGGTAAAATTTCAGGGCGAAATTCTTCCTTTTGGTTTTTCCCGAAATGCCTGGCTCACAGTAAAAATTTCAGTAAAATGGTCATAACTCTTCACCAGTAGACCATGGGCACGAATTCTTTCAGACTTTTTCTTATNCTATCTAATGACTATTAAATCTATCTATAGGTAAAATTTCAGGTCGAAATTCTTCATTTTGGTTTTTCCCGAAATGCCTGGCTCACAGTAAAAATTTCAGTAAAATGGTCATAACTCTTCACCAGTAGACCATGGGCACGAATTCTTTCAGACTTTTTCTTATCTCAATATACCGTTTCGAATGAGATGTGAATGAGTCAAAACGGAGCGAATCACTTGGGAATGTTCCCTCGTTAGTCTTTTTTTTTTATATATGTGAATGTTGGTGATGTGCTATTCATTTATTCATTAGGTATTTGAATTTTATAATCAAATATGATTGATATCGACTATTTATAGTTTTTTCATTAAGATCTTTGCGTACTATAACAAGAATAAGATTAATTGCGTCCAATTATTTTTTTGTGCACTAGCAAATATAAATGCAAACTACGAAAAAGAAGATTAAGAAATATCACTCATATTATTATATATTTTACTTGAGTAATATCAAAAGTTCTATACCATGTTTTATTTCATTGGAATAACAATAAAAATAAGAAGCATTTTCTGTTAGTTTCTATGTATCATCAGCTGTGATATCTAAAATATCAAAACTTTCCAACATTGTTAAGAGCTGTTATGTATATCTGTACCATGGCACAGTGACAAGATAATCGGCTATTTGTAATCATTTTAAATTAAGAAAATTTAATAGTATAGCAGTGAACTGAGTCGTAGCACCACCTTGTAAGAGATGAGCTATGGCCGTCTTGAGCCATAGTTAAACTTTCTCAATAAAAAAACAATGATAACAGGATATTATTTATTCTTACAGGCGATAATATCAGGCTTTATTTTTAGGTCAAGGTTAAGGTCAAGTATTAAATGCCAAATATCTGTTCATTACGTATCTTCCATTGTCTATGTCTTAGCCTCTGCAAACGGCTATTAATACATGTGACGGTCTGTTCTATAAAGATGGAAAAGAAAAGGCAAAATTGAAAGGTTAATGTTTTTGGTATATTTCTTATTTGTATCAATTACGATTCATATGAATTCTTTTCCTAAGTAAGCAATACTTGAGGTAGTAGATTTTGAAATTATATAATTATTTTCTAGTGATCAATAAAATCACTATAAATATATCAATACGTATTATCATTTGAAAAGGTTCAATAATTAATATTCAAATTGAACCATTACTTGTATTAAGAAAATGAAATTAACTATTTAAGATTTTCATTTCTCATTCAATTATTTCCAATCAGAATAAAAGACAAGACAACATAATTGTATGAGTTGTGAATTCAACTATAAATGTCTAGGGTATATTTTAGAACTGCATAGGAAATGTGTCATCGACTTAAAATAGTAGACCTAATTAAAATAACTAATCTTGATTAGTCGACTAGAAAACCTACTGATAAGAAAATAACTTGAGTAATTCAAATGTAGGTAAGAAATCATATTACTTTGACATTTTGTTAGCCTTTCCTAGGAGATTTAAAAATCGGAAGATTAATGCCTGAATAAACCTGTATGCGAGTAATTCAATACCCAATTTAACATTAAGCTGTGAAGAACTTCATCGATCGAATGCATTTCTGCTATTTGATGAACATGTACTACTATCATTAAACAGATAAATTGAACTCGTCGATTTCTTATATAAATGTTTCTTCTGATGAATTGATTTGTCTCAGAGGATTTTCTAAAGAAGTCTTTCTCGTCAATGATAATTGCAAAGAAACCATGACAGTTCCCCTCCTAACGATTGCAAACACTATGAAAAACGAATTCTGTATAGTAATGGATTCGTATGACTGAATATAATTATAAGACAGACACTTGTAACAGAAGTATTCGAGCATACGATCAGATCGAAATGATATACTCGTAGATATTTAGTGTAGATGTGTCGAGTCGACATAAGATAGCAAAAGAAAAAGAACGTGATGTTACTTGAGTTAGACCTGTATTATTGTATGAAGAGTGGAGAATTAATAATAGTATTTATAATTAAGATAAGAATGCTAGTTACGGTATTCGGTCATATGCAAAACTCTTATATTGTGATCTTGTATAAAAAAAAAAACAGATCTAAAACGGATTAAATAGTAAGGGTTTTGGTTTTTTTCGCATAAATACTCCTACCTTTCGAACGATCAAGTTTGTATTCGGTTTGCTCAATAATCATCATTCAAATTATATTAGTTGCTGATAAATTCCTAATAACAATATATATATGTACTCGCTAAGAACCTTTTCAGACATTGAATTGTTTAAAAAACATATTCTTAGATTATTTCATAAATATATTTATTTATTTTAGTTTTTTGGTATCGATCGTGAGCTTTTTTTACTAATCATCTTTTTTGGTAACAAATAAACTAAAATCAATTGTCCTATTTTTTTAATTTGTTTATTAATTTTTTTTTTATTAAATTTTGCTATACTATAGAAGATTGTTAATCTAGATGTTTTAATTTTTGTACCAATAAAGTTAATCTCATAAGATAACAACATTCACATGCAGTTCAAACGTTTTCTTTGTTTTCTCATTTGTTTAATAATAAAAATGCTATCGTTTAATTTCCGCTTCGAACTATAAGTGTTCCTGTCTTGTCTGTATTTAATCCATCTGTTGAATCAGGTTAACTATAGATAGACATATATACTCAACAATCATCTATCAAGTAACGTCTTCCGGTTCGAACATATTACATACATCTGTTCAATATTTAGTTTATTTTTGTTTTCTTTCTTATTCGTTATTCAAACGAAGAACAGAAAGATACACCGAAAATTCGAAACTGTACAAGAAAAGAAACAAGACAGAAAGGGTCCATTAACAACAAAAACACACACACAAACAAAAAGAAAACAAAACATAATGGTTAAATAAATGTATCATGTGCATCATTTTGTAAAATAGTTGTAGTTTTTATACCTGTTCTCAATTGTTTAATAGTTGTACTTAAATGTGGATATGAACGTGCTTGTTCATCAATATCTTGTTGACAACCAAAACGAACTTGTTTCGGTGATGGTTGTCCATTAGATGTTAATGATGACGACATTGTACGTCTTCCATTACTACTATTACTTGTTGTACTTCCATTTGTTTCAAATGTTCGATAAGAATTAAAATCAATAAACGTTGATGTATTTAAATTCTTTTGTGTTGCTGCTGGTGTTATTGAACTTTTATACAACCAATCGGGATACAGAATTTTCTCAATTGACCATTCATTATTATCATCAATTATTGATCTTTGCTGTTGTTGTTGTTGTTGTTGTTCATCAGTCCATTCATCAACATCTATGATAAATATATTTAAAAATTTAATAAAAAACAAACAAGATCAAAGCAGAACTGGTCAAATACGAGCCGTCCGAGCTACACGTACTCGTACTTGCTCAGTTGTGGATCGAATAAAAACAAAATTTAACCTTCTTCATGCTTGCTACTATTACTATAATAATCACTAGTTGTTTGATTGGGTTTCATTGTTGATGATACTTGATGATGATGATGTTGTGTATAGATATTTGCACCTATCGATGAGAGAAAAAAGAAAATATAATATTCTTTTTATTGATCTCTTTTGTACAATGTCAAGCGGTGTATAAAAATTAGAATTGAGAACAAAGAAAGATGACATTCAACCTTTTTTTATTTAACGCCATAAAACAATTTGATACTTGATTTATCATCTTATATACATATATATATATATATTTATGAAAATAGCCGCACCCGTATTTGATGATCAAGATTTTCTTTTGTCACTTCATATCAAGGGATTAATCACTATCATATTCACAAATCTTTCAATAAACGAAAATGTTCTGTATAAAAATAATGTTCATCAGAAAGAACAATATTGTAGACATACTAACGATCAGTCTTCTTTCGTATGTTTTTTTTTGATCTTAATCTCGTCACGATAAGAAATATGTTTGCTATACTGACCATTCTTTTTCAAAGAAATATATGTGTTTATATGGCGTGAGAAGGGATCATTTTTTTCCTGTTCTTTGTTGGTTTATTAACGATCGATGCAATTAATTGTAAGTGAGAAAAGAAAACCTAAATCCGATTTCTTTTTTTGTGATTCATTCGACAGTTTCAAGGTAAAATCAATCTTTCTAATATGAATTTCCACGCGATGTCACTCTACCTGTATAAGAAGGCGATGACGAATGATCAATAAGACGTTTTTGATGAAGATTTTCCTGTAATAAAAAAAAAGAATGTATAAAGAAAAAGAAAGAAATCATTTATCATACCAAACTTAATTTTGATGAATTCGAACTTGAATTTTTTTCATCAATATCTGTTAGTCGATTTTCAACAATAATCATTGTTTGATCATGTGAATGATTTGTATTATTTGCTACGGCTTGTGCAGCTTTACATTTAATATAATATAAATATTTTTGTCTTCGATATCGACATAGAAGTATTAATATTAAACAAACAATAAATGCAAGAATAATAGCTATAGATATAAAAAATGTTGACAATAAAAAAACACGTTTTGTTGTTGATAAAGAATTTAATTTAAAAAAATTTTCATTAGTATTTAAATCATAAAATAAACTTCCATTTGTATTATTATCACCAATTAATAAATAAAATTGTATTAATGATGAATATTGTATTATTTTTCCATTATCTTTAGCTTTAATTAATACACAATAACGTCCTATTGAAGGTGTAGAATTTAATATTAATTCACCTGTATTTGATAAAAATAAAAAATCATCATATGATGGTTCAATATCTTCAATTGTATAAGTAACTAAACCATTTCCATTTGTTTTATCATCTTGATCAATAGCTTCAATTGTAACAATAGGTGTTCCAATTGTAATACGATCTCGATTTATAATTAATATTGTATTATTTTCTGATGGTTTATTCCATATTGGTATACAATCATTTATATCTAAAATTCTTATTATAACAGGAACAGTTGTTTTAAAATAATTATCTGATACAGTTATATTTAATAAATATAAATCTTGTATTTCACGATCAATAAAATTTCGTATTAACAATTGTCCATTTTGATTTATAAAAAAAGGATATTTATATTTTTGTTCATTTTCAATAAAATAAATTAATTTTGTATTTAAATCTAAATCATATGCACGTATAAAACCGATTGATTTTGATAGATAGGAATTTTCTTCAATTGAAAATTCATATTTATCATATTCAAATTTTGGTTTATTATCATTTAAATCATTTATATCAATACGTATATGAATATTTGTTGATAAACTTAATGGATAACCATGATCACGTGCAATTATATGAAAATCATAACGATCACGTTTTTCACGATCTAAAGATATTGAACAATAGAGCATACCAGTATTTATATCAATATAAAATGGTAAAGATGTTTCATTTGTTAATATTTCATATGTTAAACGACCATTTTCACCACTATCAGGATCATATGCTTCAATTTGTGTTAAGAAACTATTTATTTGATTATTTTCATTTATTTTTAAATGAGAAAATGGATGAGAAAATTTTGGATAATTATCATTTTCATCAAGAATATTTATTGTTAAGATTTGTTTTGTTAATAATGGATTTTTTCTATCAAAATCTTGTGCATAAAATATTAAAGAATATGATTGTTGTAATTCAAAATCAAAGGATTTTGTACGATTAAAAAAATATGTTGAATTATCTATTTGATATAAATAAAATGATTGATCATTGTGTTTTTCTAGATCATTTATTTCAAACCATAAACGTGTTTGTCCACGATAATCACTATCATCATCAGTTACAATTATTTGTGCAAAAAATTTATCAATTGGATAATATTCAGAGATTTCAATAAGAGATTTTGATGGTGTATAGATTATTTCAGGTAGAAAACGAAAACTTATTTTTGGTGCACAATCATTTTCATCCAATATAGTTATATTAACTAATGTTTGAGATGAACGTGGTTCTTTACCTAAATCACGTGCTTGAATATAAAATATATATGATGAACGTTGTTCATAATCAACTAATGAACGAAGATGAATAAGACCTGTTTGTTTATCTAATGAAAATGTATTAGAATATTGTTTTGAAGCATCTATAAAATCATAAATTATTTCTCCATTTAAACCAATATCAGCATCATAAGCGTGAACTCGAAGAATAGTTGTATTGATTGAAGTATTTTCTGATAATTCAACAGAATAGATTTCACTGTCAAATCTAAAAGAAAATAATCAAAGCCATTGTTTATTACAGACGAACATCTATTGTTGGGAGTACATAGCATAAGAATAATGGGAAGGTCAAGCCAATCTTTGAAGGGGTACCGTCCTTGACGCAACCAACATTGAAGAGCTGTAAAGATTTCTTTTACTAAGAGAACGTACGAAAAAAGTTTTCTTGATTTGGTGAAGTGTCACACCTACGTTGCTATGACAGAGTGCTTAAATTGTTTGGCACGTCCTATCAAGATACTGTGTTCGAGCCTTGACGTCATCTTGAACAAGTCATTAACAGTTATTATCTCAGATCGCCTGTACGATAACATACTGACTACGTTATGACTACCATGTGTACGGGGAAGCTCAAGTGACTAAGCAGAAGAACTCTTGGAACCTCAAAGTAGCTGAAATGAATTCACACTCAAACATAATGTTAAGAAAAAATTTTTGTTTTTTTAACTTACATTGGTGATTGATCATTGACATCGTCGATGATAATAATAATATGTAATTGTTCATCATGTTCAGCAGTATCTGTTACATGTAATGTACAATTATATGAATCAATGATTTCACGATCAAGTGGTTGAATAAGGACAAGTGCTAAACGATTTGATATGTCAATGTTCGTTTCAAGGCGAAATGGAAAATTTTTATCGACAGTTTTTAATTGATATTTTAATTGCTTTTGATTATCTATTTGATCTTGATCATATGCTTGTTGAATAAATAATTTTGATTGATATGGTGGCGAATTTTCCGATATATGTAATTGAATTATTGATGATTCATACGGAAATATAGGTCGATGATCATTAATATCTTCAATTAATATTGGTATATGATAAAGTGTTTCCTGATATAATTCGAAAATTTTTAATAAAAATTTACATTTATTATAACGATGTAAACAAATTTTTTCACGATCAATATCATTAACAATATGTAATTGACCAGTTGATGAATTTAAAGAAAAATATTGTTGAATTTCACGATAATTATTATTAACAAAACGATATGAATATTTTTCTTGTGTTCTTAAAGGATTAAGTGTTAATAATAGATGACCAATTGGTGTATGTTCAAGAATTATTATTTCTGATAATTCAATAGGATCACAAAATATATATGATAAAGTTAAAAGAATAAATATGAATACGAAACTATTTTTCATCATTATCAATTATAGATTAATTACCTTGAATAAAAGAAAAACAAAAAAGAAATGAATGAACTCGTTAAAAACACATTTCTTTTTATTAAAAAAATGTAGTAGTAGTAGTAGTGTTGTTTCTTTAATCAATTAGAAACATACATTTACTTTCTCATATGGTTCACATTTCGTCTTCGTCTTTTTCTTAATTTTAATGAAGCGCATAGCATACACACCTTAGTCCAAGAACAGGTGCTAAATGGGTTCTAGTCTGGCGGAAGCCTGACGTGTCCATCGATCATGTTGTTTTTAAAAGAGTAAAGAAGCATATCAATTTATAGTTCATGTACAAATTGAATAAAGTGTGTACGTGGTCGAGTCGGATCGGTCACTTTGAATCTTTACATGTACAGTACAGTCAGAAACACAAATACATGCATTCATTACTCTTTTTCTCTTGAGAATGAATCTTGAACATTACTCATAATCGTATACGACGATTGAAATCCAATCAAACACACAGGCACTAATTAAAATACACACGCTTACTCTCTTTTATTCGTTCAATATAGTGCTACTACTACTACTCTTCAATTTTCAACTTATACAAGTTCCGACATGAAAAAAGCAAAAGAGAGAGAGAGAGGGAGAAGAAGAATAAGAGACATCATTATGTGCATCATTTTCCTCTCTTTGGTCTTTCGCCGGCGACATGGTTTGACAAGCGGAAATGACGAGTGCGGATGGGAGATCTCCCGCTACGCTCATCATCATCGAATAGAGAAAAACGTAGGGCGGCGATTATATACACACTCATATATACACACAAAAGCTTCTATGACAGGACTATATATCTATATGAATATATATACATGGAGGTGCAAAGTAGCCATCAAAATGCATCATCAAATAGACCAAAAATATAATACGGGCATGTCGCTTGAGATCATGCACCTATTTTAACTCAAAGAAAAAAAAGAAAAAATGACGTATGACAAGTCTGTTGAATATGAAAAAGAAAAGCTACGTGGTTAAAGATACTTACTCGAAGCATCGTCATATTTTTCCGGCTGAAAAAATTTCGGCTTCAAAAACAACTAGTTCATTTAAAGACTGCTCACTCTTTTGTTCTCTCATTTTTCTTTTTCTTCTCTTCGTTCCCTGAAGAATAATCATAATTCTCTCATTTCTTTTTCTCGCTTACTATTCTTCTCTTTTTTCTTATGTTCATTCTCCTTCTCTCACTCCCTCCTTGTCTCTCTTTCTTTCTCCTATCTACTTATTCAATCAATCGTCTCTGCTTCTCCTGCTGAGTGAAAACGATTAAGTAGCACACTACAAAACGAAAATTGCCTGAACTAAAATAAAAGCAACAGAAGCTTAAAACATTAGAAAAGAAAAGTTATTCTTCGATAAAAAAAAAAAGTGAAAAGGCTTATTAGAATCCAATGGTCGCCGCGGGTAGTACTTGAAAACCTAGACATATGAAATTATGCGATCATGACGGCCTTTTTGATCATTGTCATTGTACTCATCCACTCAACTTTGTCAACGCATATATATATATGGCTTCGGTCAACCTTCATCTATATATATATAGTGAGTCTCACCTTAATGTTTGCTCACCAACAGTAACAACAGAAGTAATAATAGAAGAAGAGAAGGAAGACATTATCTTCTATATATATATGTGTGCGCTGAACTCATGCACACATTGCAAGCGAGAAGAAAAAGCATACGCATACAAAATGTTACACGCACGCACGCACCTGAGCTATGTGTGTAGAAGTAAAAATGGCGTAATCGTTCTCAAAATACTATCATTTTAGTGGGTAGTGGCGCTGGCCAACACATGGTGCCATCGGATAGGACCATGACTTTTCCATAACAAATTTTTAGGCTTTATATACATACACGTGACGCAACCGTAAGCGCACACGGCTGCTGCATCCGTCAAGAGGCAATAAACTTCCTTATATTCATCTTCACCGCTGTTCAATATATTCAACATAAGAAAGGAGTTAACTATTTTTTTATCTTCAACAACATCTGTGACAATGTGTTCTTTCTTTTTATTTGTCCCTCCTTCTTTCTTTTGTTCCACTTAAACATACAAGTAGTATTACCGCATCGAAGCGATTCGTTAAATACAATTTCAATTTGTCTACTATTTGATGATCACAAGGGATAAATGATCGATTATCATTCTTTTTGTCTCATAAATAAATCATCTCATGTCAAAAATAATCATCGAATCGTTTGTCCTTCGTAATAAAGACGACAGAAATGGACAGTTTTTCAAACAGCTCAGTTTAATTACAGAATGAGCTTCTTTATAATAATAATAGAATAAAAGATTGAGCTTGAACAATTATTAGCATATTGAAAAGAAGGGTAGGCGTGTGTGTGTAATGTGCAAGTGAAGAACACAAAAGCTTTTGCACAAATGACAAAGCGTTGAGGTGTATGGTTATTGATTAGATAGACGCCGGCCTTTCTACGTATGTATGTGGACGCTCACACACATTCAGGAAGTTAAAGTATAAAAAAGAAATATCCTTGAACTTTACAATGGTGTTTGTAATTCCGGAGACTTTATGCAAAAGATATTTCCATTTATTATTTACAAGGTAATGAAGATCTCAAATTACACATATCTGTCACAATGACAGCATCCGTTTTGATAAGAGATGTGCATAAAATTAGTAAGCGTGACTATTCAACAAAAAGAAAAGAAATTACGAAACAAAAGATGTATAGGAAAAAGGATTATTATCAATCTTTGACATTGTCTAGCAAAAAAAAATGTCTATTTTGACAGTCAAATTAGTTCTATACTTGATTTTCTCGATCAACATAGAATGAAAGATTGAGATCCATAAATTAGACGAATAGGTACAATAACAACAGGCAAGAACAATTTGTCTAATGAAAAGCAATAATCTGTTTTCGTTCGTCTATACATTACCACCCGATGTTGAGAAAGAAAAAGAAATGAAAATAAATGAATTAAGAATGATGTTCTTTTTTTTTACTACTCCTCAAATACTGCTGCTACTGTCAATCATGCACACATATTGTACATATATACATCTCACACATACACAATGTAGAATATACATTCTAATGGTGCACTTCTCTCTTTTTTCTTCGTTCTCGCGCTTTTAAGTGTATGTATATGTGAATGAACGAACATGAGGAGGAGCGAATATAATGCCTTGAGGTGAATTAGTCCGAAAGGACCTCAAAAATCATATATATTGCGGCAAAGCAAATGAACTGGCCTTGAAATAACATCAATTGTATGTGTGTTCTCTTCAAAGAAATTCAACAATTGTGAAAGAAAATATTTTCATCGAAGCAATTAATGTATGAATAAATTCTATACAAAATTTTAGAACAAACCTATATCCGTACAGTGTCAATCATTGAAGTTGTTAAATTGACTGGTTCATTAATGAGCCGTTTAGCCTGCAAGGTATACCTTCCATATCAATGTCTCTTTAAAATGTCACATTCAACAACCTTCATACACCACTAAAAGGATTATAAAAGAAGAAGAAAAAAAAGAATGAGATTTCTTTCTATCTGTCATCAAATATCTTATTTCGTCTAGTCGAACACTAATGAATAATATACAAATGGAAACTTATGATGAACAACAATTAGTAACTGATCGATCGACTGTCCATTTGTATGTTCGTCAATGGGCGATCTATCATCGACTGTATACTTCTAATAATGCATTTCCTAATTCTATGTATAAATTCGTTGGGAACAAACTACAGAAGGTGTATGCCTCTCTCACTTATCATCAATATCATGATGAACATCACGTAAAACCAAAAGGGCAAGAATAGTGACGTCTTCTTTTGCATTGTGTAACTTCTTTTAGTTGTCCATTGGAATTTTTGTAATCATTTTGGTATTACGGAGAAGAAAAGAGAGAAGGGCAAGCATTATTGTATATATACACACATACGCATATATATATATATATACAATGCAAAAGAAAAAAGATATATCGTGTATTTTTCTGCATCATCAGGGTGCAAAAAGCAACAAGCACGTTTTGTCGTCAATGTTTGATACACGTTCAGTTTGTTAGTTATTACATAATCTCTAGCGTTGTTGTCATTGTCTAATCGATCTTCTCACATCATTTGTGTATTTAAGATGAATTTTTTTTTGTTTGTTCTTAATTATTTTTTTTACAGCATTATGTTCACTAACGTTGTTATACACCTAGCTTTTATATTGTATAAATATAATAAAAGAAAGAAGGCAAAATGAAAAGAGCGTGTTGTATCTCTTTCATCGTTTATCATTGAATCGTTCCGGTAATCGGATCTTTTTTACCTTAGGTACACACACCTTTTTTGATTGTTCTTCACACCACATACGTATATTCTCATTTATGTGTAAAGGTTAAAGATTACGAAATCGATTTTCGTGGTCGCTATAGTCATTGTACATATGCACATATGATGAAGTTTGAACGACTTTCCACCTACTTACGAATTGCCATCAGTTGTTCATCATCATCTTCTGATATATTCGCTTACGGCGGCGTCTTTTTCTTGTTCTCTCTCTCTCTCTCATCTCGAGACAATAGACGTCGTTGTCGTCGTCGTCATCTACTTATCATCTTAGGCTCAACCCGCTATAGAGATGGTACTTTTCATGTTCGCTTATTGAAAAATCACTTTGCTCGTTTCATATATGCCCTCTGGTCTCTTTTCTTTTTCTCATCCAATCGTCTAAGTAGTCTCATCTATTCAATGTTAGTCACTTGTTCGCTTCTGTTTTCTTTTTATTTAAGATTGAATGATTAATCGACTGAGAATATTAAACTCTTGAACAGTCTATATATGTGTCGTCTTTCATTTCCGCATTATTGATGTATTCTCAGATAGGTATGTTTAAATCAAGGTTAATAAATATATATAATTTAATATGATGCAATTTTAATATTTAAGGTAGGAAAAGAAAGTTATTTATTTGGGTCGACACAATGATTATTTCCTGTATTTGTTTTTAATTTCTGATGCTGTTTGAACTTGTCGGTCGAGTTACTTACTTTACTTAGTTGTATGTATATGTACAAAAAAAAAGAAAGAAAACGATAGACAGACAGACAAATGAATAAAAGAAAGTGTACACTCGAGGAATCAGACTCAACTGACGACATCCGATTTGGTCATTGTCGCGCAATTTGACTTTTCTCTAATTGTACGGAAACTAAGACAGAAAAAAGACTAATTAAAGACGTTTGAAATTTGATGACTATGTTGTATAGTCGCTTGGTCAAGAACATTAGTAACCAGCAAGTAATGTCTGGTAACATTCAAATCGATTCTTGTCAACCTGTCTATATATATTCAATCAGACGTCTAATTGAGGAAATGAAAACAAGACGAGACATATGATGATGCCATAGGGAGACATTGTTACTAGAAAAATGATATATTTGAGTAACAAAGAATTATTTTTCACATACAACAAAAGGAAACTCATTATTATTAGCATCATTTGCTTGCTTTATACGTCTGTCACCTGCTTGTTAAAACCCATCAGTTGGTTTTCAAAAAAAAAAAGAAAGAAAAAACTTCAAACGGATATCATTGAAATTTAATAATCGATACAAATGCATTCATATAATTTGAATCAATTTCTGATAAAGGTGTTTAAGTCAATATAATATTACGAAGAAGAAATCAATATTTGACTTTTTTATATTCTTACCTAACATTATAAGTACTCTTAACTCAGGTAGTACAGTGAATTTTTAAAGTTCTTCTGTATTACTGATATTGTTTGCACTAGTATCTTACATACATGTCAAGTTTACACATCTTGTATATTTATATATACCCTTAAATCGATATAATACAATTATTTCATATTTTCACTAAAAATGATTTAATATTTTTATTTTATGATCATATCAATAGAGATATTTGTGATTTAAAACCATTCAAAAAAAATCCTATTTTAGAAAGAAACCAAACTAATAATATTCTGATATTTAAGGAAATTAGAAATTAAGCAATGAAAGCTCTCTACTGGTTGTTAAGGGATTTTCAGAAGATTTTATGAAAAAAATTTAAAAAAAAAAGTTTTTGTAAACGAAATTGTTGAATTCTATCAATAGGTCTAACGAAAGTTTTTGACAACGTTACTGGTAATTTTATAAAATAGTTAATATTAAAGAGTTTGTTGCATGGATGAATAGTTGAATATCTCTTCTTATATATATAATAAATTCATTTTAGGAATGGTTCTATTATTCTTTCAAATAAAGTAAAATTCTATCAAAAAATTCTCAAAAACGTATAATAAATTCGATTAATACTATATTCAAATCTAGACTATTAAGGGAATAGATGTAAAGAGAATTCATGAGAAATTTACAACATCGTATCCAATAGGTGCAAGATGGGCAAAGCATTTTCATGAAGGATGACCTTCGATCTGGTTGTCAGGCTTTCCAAGTTGACAAATGTAAATATTAAACTGGTGCAACAGGTTATCAACAGTGATCTACATTCAATTTATCATGATATTATAGCTGAGACTTCTCTCTCTTTCTCATGGCACAATCGAAAGAATTATCCACGATTGTCTAACGATGAGAAAAGTTGAAGCACGCCAGATGTCTGATCAATTCTATGATGAACAAAAGTAGTAATGAGTTAGAATTTTTCTATGGATTTTTGACTATTAACCTATAAATAAATCTTGGAAAAGGTTCAACATCTTTTTGGAAGAAGCAACCTTAAAAGAAACTTGTTCCTGATATGTTACAAAATTTTATCGAATAATATATCGGAAGATACAGAAAATAATTTTCTACAAAGCGGTTAATTTATTGCAAATGATTAAGATGTAGTAAAGACTCCTATAAAGTCTGTCGCAAGAAAAATGACTATTTTTCCGATTTTCAGCACAAATAACTCTTCGACACAGCTCTGCTATTTTTGAGCGGATTAATCAAAACTCTTCATTCAAGCGTCATTTTGTAGAGTTGAGATCACTCGCAAGTACTATATATATTTACAAAACTTATTTTATAACTACAACATACAGGCTTGTTTTGAAAAAAATAAAGTTTTTACCTCTTGAGACAATTTGCTCAAGCATCACCAAGATTTACTTATGGTTTAATTGTCAAAAGTCACAAAAAAAAACTTCTAAGCATATATTCTGAAAGAGTACAAAATTCTCATTCCAATACACTACTTTCCCTCTTCTCTGGTGTATATAAATACGCGAAAAATAGTCAAATATTTTGTCTAGAAATTTTTGGTTCACTCTTTATTACTACAGATAATGAGACATGGATTTATCATAGACAAGTTGGACACAAGTCAATTGACGCAAGCTAGCTTAGTGAGGGTGAATCATCAACGACTATTGCTTGTCGTAGTATCTTTTGAACTAAAAACCTCTACTTTGCATGTTCTTGTACATAGTATAGATAAAGGTAGGATTCTAGATTACAACTATTGTATTAAAAATTATCTCAAGTCCGTTATCGGTGAAATATGTACACAAAGACAGTCATCCTTTGCAAAATGTATAAAGTTACATCATGGCAAAGCTAAATCTATCAAATTCAACCATTTTTATCAGATCTTACATCATGTGATTTTTGCTTACATGTTTGTATTGAACGCAATTCAAGTGACCAAACAAAGGACAAAGCATCGGCTTGCAGCGTTTCGAAAATAATTGAAAATGTTTCAGAAGAAAATTTTTAAAATATCTCGTTATCTTTATTTAATGTTGTCAGAATGTTTGGTCAATTCTTAGTACTTGTTTTTTTTTCAAAACTTATGATTACAAATGAAAAACATTTTATTTTACGATAAAAAAGATTGATCGATAACAAATGAAAACTCTCCAAAAGAATATTCATCATATTTTCCATCATCTGTCTTTTTTGGAATTAATTTTCTATTCATAATTTCTTGCATTGATTTAGCTGCTTTAATTATCAATTTCGATTCAACATTAGGTATATTATGACCAGGTAATATTAAATCAAATTTTGAACTAATTTTAGCTAATTTTTCTAATGATATTAAATAATCTTGAAGATTAGTTTCTGATCGATAAAGAAGAATTGGACCTTGATAGAAAATATCACCAGCAAATAATAAACGTTCTTTTTCATAAAGAAGTGATATTGAATCTGGTGAATGGCCAGGAGTTGAAATTACTTGTAATTCTTGTCCTTGACCAAGATCAATTCGATCATTTTCTTTTACATAATTATTAATTTGAAAGGGACGAATACGATAATTTTTAGGATTAAAATCTTCAGGTAAATATTTTTCCCAGATCATGCCCGGTTTTAATTCATTTTGTGCGTCTTCAATTGTACCTTTTGAATTATGTTCAGCAAAGTCTGAATGAACACCTAAAAGTTTTCCTGAAAAACGCCAATTATCACCAATATGATCATGATGAGTATGTGTATTAATCACTTTAAGTGAGGCTATTGAAGGAATAAGAGACTCAATAACTTGTTGAATATTTCCAATACCCATACCAGTATCAATTAATAATGAATGTTTAGAACCAATAAGAAGATATGAAATTGTCTCCTCCCAATGATATGGTTCATAAATAGCGAATACATTTGGACGAACACGATAAACTTGAAACCATTGTTGAGATGGAATTGAAACACGATCAAGTAAAGAATATTGTGAACGTGGCAATTTCGAACACCAAGCCGGTTTTATTGATGAAGACATTGATCTAGATTATTTTTTCATTATTAAATAAAATCAACAGTTACTATTCATTTCAAAATAAAATATGCTCGACTGTTTTTTGAATAACTTTTGATCGGAACGTCATAGAGACCTGCGGTTTTCATCATTCAAGAAAGAAGACTCTTAACCATTAAAATCTGATTGGTTACCAAATCAGATGATTTTTTTTAGGTTAGATATGATCTGATTCTATTATTTCAATATTTTCGAAATGTTGACTCCTTCATTACATGAAGGCTGATTGTAGAATTTCAGAAATATTGAAATAATAGAATCAGATCATTTTGAACCGAAAACAAATATCACTATTCGACTTAACATGGTAAATGACCCCTGCCTAGCCGTTTTATCGGATAATTAGCTTCAGAATATTGTCTTTGAAAATCCCCATCAAGAACTCACCTGATTGATTAGTTGTTGACCAATCAGATTTTAATGACCCTGAATGAATCTTTTGAATCTTTTCTCTTGAATGATGAAAACTGCAGATCTCTATGATATTTCTATCGCAATTTATTCGAAAAATAGTGAAGTACATTATATTTTGAAATGAATAGAAATATCGACATACCGTATTGAGACGAAACGAATAAATTGGTAAAGTTTTAACATTATACACAAATATTCAAATCAATGCACTCGTTTTATACGTTATACGTTTATCATGATAAAGACAGGTTTGTTATGGAGCTTTAGTCTATTTGTTTATTTCAATGTCATCACAAAGGGATGAATAGAATTTCTTTGTAATCAAAAGTGAGATAAATATTTCGTAACTAGAATAAAAGAAAAAAGATAACTATTTCAATACGTAAAGAATGATATTTGATAAGCATGCAAGATTATTTTATCTTTGCTGGTTGTTTTAACTTAAAACAGAATATGTATAAAATCAGAATAATTCGATATGAAATACGGCAAATAAAATATTCATGACAATTTCCATGAAAACAATGATATAATTATATGGAGTAACAGTTTTGTATTAAATGTTCGTCTTTTCCTGTATCTGAGTGGAGGAGCATTGTTGAGTGGCAAGTCTTTTTTTTTAAAGGTATTCTACGATTTTTTTCTACGTATAGTCTATTGAAAGGATTATTGAGCATACTTCGTTTAAAAAAATCTAACTTCATTTGCTTAATATTCATAAAATGTTATTGGATGCTACTATTCGTCGAAATACCTAATGATAAGTTCACAAATTTTATAAAGTTACAATTTGACCGTTATACATTTCAATGAAAAACCTTTTAATATTTTTTTTTTGAACACCAGATTGAATAAAAAAAATGTTTACATATTACCAGTCGACAATTCACATTTATTTTCATGTTGCAAAGAATGGTTTTTAGACAAATGAAGTTGTTAGTACGTCACGTAAAACTGATATATCCAATTGAAATATACTGTAAACAAAATTTGTAGAAGAAATCATGAGTTACGTGTCAAAAACAATTGACCCTCTATAGTATTCCTGTATTGGGATATAAAAAACTAATTAATGCAAAACAAGCACACAAACCGTGTCCAACACGATAGACTATATGTATTTTATAATTCAATGTCTAAAGATTAATAATTGGAATGAGAATGAGATGCATTTATGTTAATGCACTTAGAAAAATAGTAAATAGAGCAGCCATAATTGTAAAAGTGATATCAACAAGCCAGTTAAAAAGTCACAAAAGAATGAAAGAAACAGGTCGAGTAAAACTAGCGAATCATGAAATATATAGATTGTTGATGAGAGATAATATAAGATCATTAAAGAATGTATTAGTGATATAAATGAATACAACAGCTATAATTTAAATACTGCCAGAAAAACAGTTGGGCTATGCATTCAGCCATGTCTACTAAAATAAGCATAAGAAGTCAGAGAAAGAGATATCCAAGTGATATGGCAAAAACATTGGTGTAAGCACTTCGTTGATGTCTACTCATATTAATATAACTAATACACAAGTGCGTTATATTGGCTACGATAACATTAGAAAACAAAGCATTGGAATGCCGAGCGACTTCAAATAGAAAAATAGACAAAAAAAAACAAGAACTTCTCTAATTCTAGCATGTACATAGTCATTAACGGTGTTGAAATTGCGATTTTTATCATACCCCATTGTCATTGCTGATGAAGAAAGATAATAGGAATCGAATAGATGTTCATCTAACAGGAATTGCAGAACTTAAGTGAGACGATCACCGATTTTCGTATACATGTAAACAGAAGCCTGAACTTTCCTAGATTCGATTTGTTCAACGACAGTTGATGAAAGATACTACGGCTGCTGAAAAATTAGACTTAAACTCTAATTATTAGATGGAGTTCGGTAAAATGATGCAAAAAAGTAAATAGCGACCAAATTATTATCAAAATCAATTATGAATACTTTGCGTGATTTAATACAGCAAATAAAAGTCTATGAAATAATAAGTTCATCAATAATTCAGAAAACAATACGATAAATTTTATAATTATTTTTCTCATATTGAAAAAGAAAATCGAAATTAGAGTCTTCGTGAGAAAAATTATTTTAGAAATTACAAGTAATTTTGTTCCAATACTGAGAATATTGTGTTTATATTATCGTCATAAAAAAACTAATAAGATAAATGGGTACAACGAAAAGAATAAACATCCAAAAGAATAATTGATTCCATTCAGTAAATAATTAGTGAATGCCCTTTTGTAGCTATATTAGGACCATTAGGCTCATCAATAACGAAGTAATGACGTGCAGATTATTTTTCACTTGTTTTTACAGATAACATCTGTAGAGAATAGAGCATGTCGAAGTTTTTATAAATAGGTTTCATCCTAGCTGATCTAGTTGACCAGTGCTGGTTGCTAGCAAATGCACGAGTATGTTCGACCTATGACATTGACTAAGTTTATTTTCGTTGTAAACCAGTAGTCTATGTATTTGAATGAAGCAACACATTTGACTGTATGCTTTCCGCATGGAAGCATCGAATTCGGATAGTTGATGCCATGGGAAGAAAATATTGCTTGGGTTTTTGAATAGTTTATCGAGTAAATTGTATGAGTACAGAATAAAATTTGAGACAATTGAAGAACTTATATTATCTTTGCCCTAAGTCGATACATTGATCTGTGAATGGAATTTCTATTTGCACAGCTATGACAGCAGTCAAATGATTGGCAAAGAAAAATGACATCGTCACAAGCAGAAAATCGAATCTAGAGAACCACCATGATGAATAAAAAGACACCTTGATCCATTTCACGGACGCTTGCAAAATACCCATTCTAGCTAGTTTTCCTAAGTATTCTTCAAACTACAGCTTGTCGAAAGTGGAATTAAAGTCTACACAGACAGCAGCAACTATAAAGCTGTTTGACATGCAAGAGAATATTCTTTATAGAAGAAGAAGAAATCATGTCTACAACCGATGGCCTGACTTGTATATTGGTCTAGCTGGCTATGACTATTACTTTCTCAATGTTTTTCGACAAATAAGAATCTAGAAATTAAACCTTACATTCATGCTATAGATATCCGAATAATTATAACAATAATGTACGTAGATGATACATGATATAATATTGGAAGTAGACGAATATAGGCTATGGTTGTTCTTGAACCAAATATTACACGTCTCATCATTGAGTCGTTCGTTCCATTGACAAATACAGTAAAGCTACTTGCTTTACCTTTTGCTTTCATACTATTATAGCTCTGGTAATCGATCGATTTGATCAAATAATATGGCCAAGGGTTCATGGACCATGTTCCATTTCATTAAAATCTTCTAGTAGTCGAAGTTTATAATTACTTCAAATATGCCAACTCAAATATTTTCTTGTCAATTTATTAGCAACTAAATATCAGAATAGAGAAAAATGATAAGCTTAGTTTTATTTTCTATAAAAAAAAAAAAAGTTACTATTTTAAAAACGTTTTATTATTAGAAAAAAATTGGTCAAAATTAAAGTGTTATGTAAACTAAGAATTTCGCTTGAGAACAATTGATCACCTCATTCGGCCATCCATGTCTTGAATCGATCTCTAAAATATTTGTTAGTGTTGCAATCCAACTTGTATTTAATAGTTCGTAAAATAATCATCGTATACTCTTGATTTACTTAATG